CCGGAAACGGCCGTTCGTCAGAAGATTAATTGGCCTTTCGAAACCGTCTACTTCATTTGACTCGAGTCCGCGGGATCTGATCACGACCGGGGAGGGGATATACGCTCCGGTTTAAATATAATTTCCAGATTACTCTTGTGTTCTACATTGCACACACACACACACACACACACACGCACACGCACGTACATCGTTACGTGCTCCGTTTTCAATAGATGAAGATGGTATCGATCGCGCGCGCGCGCGCGCTTGTAAAGCGCTCGCTTAAACAGATCGGGGAGGCAGGAAGAATAAATAACTCCTGCAATCGCCGTTCGCTGCAATCGGAGCACGTTTTGTGCGATCGTAAAAATCATTCCTCAACAAGCAGTTGTGAATAAATTAGAGTCGTACAAAAGATCCTCCTAATGGAAAAGGGATTTTCTTCGGTACGACGCGCGCGTTTTCTCGATCTCGCGATCGTCGCGGAAGATCAAAAACTTACACGGTTGCGCGCGATTTCCGCGATTTTTTTTTGTTCTACAAGGAACATAAGAAACCCAGCTGTTCCAGTATTGTTTACACTAAATTGCACCCGAGGTGGTTCGCGTAATTATCTCGTAGCACTTGCAGCTTCCACACAGAATTTACGTCGACGATTTTACATAATGGACGCGTTTCATACAAAGTATGAGCGCGAGCTGTTCCCGTAACAGTTTGGAAATTCGGCGAAAGTTTAGTGTGTCAGCCAACCATGTAACTATTTCGCGGAACGGAACAATGGATAGTTAGACGCTCCGCATTGCGCATCGTATAAGTACATTCGCTAGCGAGCGAGCGAGCGGGCGGGCGCGCGCGAGCGAGCGAGCGGATCTTACATTTTCTTCCGGAACCGATCGCGCGACGTGGCTGGCGGAAGTGAGTTCGGCGCGAATTATTCACGCGGAAGAGTATCCAAGTTTAAAATCCGCATCCGTTTTTGCGTGAGAAACGGCGCGACGCGTTGTTGAATTGGCGCCCGTTTTCTCTCTGTACGTATGAATGTGTGTGTGTGTGTGTGTGTGTGTGTGTATTTCCCGTCGAAGTTCAGGTTTAAAATTCACGTCGGGGAAATGTCGGGCAAGTGATAAACGGGTGGAAAAGAGGCGCGGGGATAAGTAGTCTCGCGGTATTTTTATTTTACGATGTACCGACGTCGTTTGCTCTTCTCGTGTGTGTTAAAGGGCGGCTTTAAAACTGCGCGCTCTCTCTCTCTCTCTCTCACAATTGTGCCGTCGGTATTTTCCTACATCGTCTCGAACATTACCGTGGTCCATCCTTTTCGCTTTCACGAGGAGACGCTTGCACGCCCACTTCGCGTACACTTTGAAGCGCGCGCGCGCTCGCTGCGAAAGTAATCTGAGAGCTCGGTACACACGGCTCCCAAGATCCGTCTCATTCATAATTTAGAGGGCATCAGAATACTACGAGGAAGCAAGAGAAAAAGAAAGAAAAAGAGAGAGAGAGAGAGACCGTTTCTTGACGTTTTCGTCGCATATCTTGCGCCGTCTCCTACATTAACTTAATCGCTCTTGCGCGCGTCTTACATTCTGCTTTTACATTGCGCTTTACTTCGCGCGGAAATTTTTATTAGCGTTATTATGATTTCACGATGAGAAGAAACCCGCGTCTCTCTCCCTTTCTCGGAAAGAAGGAAAGCCTTCGGAAATCTAATAAAACGCGATTGTTAATTAACGGAGTTGCGCTTTCATCGCGATTTATTTTCAACGTTTGTTTCACATTGCGAATCGAGCGCTGTTATTATTGCTATTATTCTGTTTACAAATACGTGTTTTTACTCTATTCAGATGATGCGCTCTGTGCAAGCGATATTTAACGTAATTAAAAACAATATTTTATCGTCTCTTCTCTGATGTTAATATTTGTTTTTAACGGAAAAAACTTCGATATATTTATTGGTGTTTATATAAAATTTCTATTCCACTCTTTCTGTGTAAAAATTTTTTTTTAATTCCGTAGATTATGTTTTCATTTATGTTCGCGCGCAATCTCGTATGCAGATATACAATTTTGCGCGCTGTTCCCGTGGAACGCCGTTACGTCATGCCGTAGTTAATAAAGCAAGATGAATAGCGAGATAAATAGTGGGATAATACGGCGCAAGTAGCACGCAAAGTGGATGCATCTTCGAACTTCGTGCGTCGTTTTTCACGATCTTCGACTCTCGCACGATCGAGGAGAAATAAATTCTTCCAAGAATTTTGTCCTTCGGTAAAAAAAAAAAAAAAAGAATTATAACGATTCGCGTTTGTTCGTGCTCCGTGACGTTCGGGCTCTGTGTGTGTGTGTGTGCGTGTGTGTGTTGTGTGGGTGTGATGCGTTTACGCTGACATCGCGGTACCTCGTTAAGCAACCCTTCGAACCGCAGAAAATCGAGACGTAGATTACCGTGACTGTGGGCGAGACGAGAGTCAGTCAGTATCATTAGCGACGGTGCGCGCTCGGCATCGAAATCCGCTTTGACGGAAATTGGGTAACGTGGCCATTATAGTCCCGTTAAATGCCGAGGCATGTAGCTTTGCGTGCTCTATGGCAAATGTCGCGGAGAATACCGCCACTCGATAAACGACGGGCACGCAATGGGAAGCAATAGCAAAGATAATCAGGTTTCATGTGATTGCGTTGTGTATCGCGACGAGGAATTCTCACGCTAATGTTGTTGTTGTTTTCCGAGATATTTTTGCTCGATGACGCGAGTCGTCTTATTGTCGCAGCTGCGAATTATTTACGACGCATGTCCGCGTCCTCGCGAGATAAGATTTATATTAATTTGTTTGTGATAAACTATATAGTTTTTTATGTATTGCTGCGCAATTGCAAGAAGAACTTTTGAGTCGAGTAAAAACAGTTAATTGCTCCGTCACTCGATACGCGGTAAGTCATTCGAGAAAGAGAGAGAGAGAGAAAAAAGATTTTACTTTTTCACTTTGTAAACGTAATAAAATTGAACATTTCTACTACTTTCGTCTGGGATACGTACACAGAACGTTTTCCTTGAAGGATCTGTGAATTTCAACTTGGAGGCAAACTGAAAGAAGGAATTTCTCCGTTGTGCACTCCTTAAAATTAAATTGGACAAGACCCTTTTATTTTCCGCCGGGAACACGATGCCTTTTATTCAGGCGGAGCTATCGCGGGCTCTTATTTTCGGCTCTCAGTATCCGTGATACGGTGAGGGAAGTGCTTGGCTGTGCTGTTGGGACGCTTTATATAGCAACTTTGAAGTACGTTTAATTACGTAGAACTTGCGGTGGACTTCGCGCAAAGTTCCTCTCTCTATCTATCTATCTATCTATCTCACTCTCTCTCATTCTCTCACTCTCTCTTCATCCGAGAGTCTGTCGCGGAGAAATTTAATTGGTCAGATATCGGGGGCTCGCGGCCTGTCAAAACCTCTCTTATCGTACTGTCTCCGATTCCGCCTTGTCGTTCCACTGTCGTTCGGATTCCACGACAGATTGCGGACGCGACGTCTGGCTTGTTCCATTCCAGGCCGAGTGATATAGATATGCCGCACTATCTTGACAGTTTCTACGAAACGGTAAAAGCTCCCTTTCAGAACGAAATATTTTAGCATTGCGACAATCTCCGTTGCCATTCATTTTTCTTAGATCTCGGCAGCTGCTCGGTCGTGTACAAACGTTTCGTTCTTTTTCTTTCTATATCCCCGAAAGATAAGACATGAATTTCTTGTTTTCTTTTTCTTTTTTTTTTCTTTCTTTTTTTTTTTTTTTTACGATAGAGATGATTTTAATCGGTACAACTGAATTCACCGCGAATTTCATCCGCCAGGGGAAAAGGGGGTGAATTTATTCCGATATAATTCTTTTTAATCTCTAGCTCGAGAATGTTATCGTTTCGCGTGTTTTGATGAACTGTTTTCGTAACGTATATTGTATAATATACATTGCCATGTGTGTGCGTGTGTGCGTGCGTGTTGGATCAGAAACATTGAAAGCGGCGCGCGATGTTTATTATCGCTAATTATCCGGTTACCGTATCATTTGTTACAAGAATTTTTGACCATAAAACGCAAACAGTGGCGATTTTATGAAAAAATTATGTCATGAAAAAAAACCGAAAAAGAGGTTTCACGACACGTCGCACGTTACACGTCGTTTTTTATTTTGCGTGACAACAAAAGCTCGCGCGACACGTGGTGAGAAAGAAACAAGAAAGAGAGAGAGAGAGAGAGAGCGGTGTTACACATTACAAGTACGATAATCCGCTTCATGCATAAATAAGCGGGGTTAAAACCGGGATGAGAAAAAACTCCGTGCGTTAGTTGTCTCTCGCTCGTGACATCGCAGAACGGTGCGGCGGAAATTTTTGTTTAACATATCGGTCTCAACCGCATTGGAATTTTACGACGTCGTTCAAAGAGCTTTCAAACACAATCGCAAACTATAGTAATTACGCGACGCGGCGCGTGTCAAAGTTTCGCGATCGATTTCTCCCGCGTTCTCGCGGAAAGAAGATGAAGATCGCAACGATATGATAATGCGAGGTCGATGACCTCGGCGTATATACGTACACAGAACGAATCTAATTATAGTCACACCGAGATGGCCACGTGTGTTTGCGCGATGTGTATTCATATCGCGTTTATTAGATAAGTTGATTATCGATCGTCGTTTAATTATTTAGCGACCCGATTCGAAATGCATAAAAGCGGACGCGCGTTCGCGACGCGTACGGCGGCCGGAAATGTCAATAGCAAACAATACAGCTGATTGCCACGTAATGCCATTTTGAGAGTCTGATGTTCGCGCGGTTACAAAATACCGCCGCGAACTTATCTCGCTGCAGTTCGCCTCGCTTCATCTCAGAAGAATCACTTTTTTTTTTTTTTTTTTTTTTTTGGTTTCTTTTGTTTTCTACGTAACGAATTATATCATTCTCGATCGCTCGCTTTCCTCGCTTCGGACAAATATCGAATGACGATTCATTTCATGTTTCAGCGACGGACGACTGCTAGAGGGGGATCAGATATTGGCGATCGATGGGCAACCGCTAGATTCGAATGTCTCCCATGAGCAGGCGATCGCAATTCTTCAGAAGGCACGTGGTCTGGTTGAGCTAGTCATCGCGAGAAGCGCCCAAGGTGAATTACAACGTTCTCGTGTTACAGACAAACTCGCTTACTCGCGTGTTCTTGAAGCGTGAAAACGTTGTTTGTGCAATTTGCGCAGAAGAGGATAACGCCCGCGTCGAGAAGCAACGTGTGTTGCAAACTATTTTGCACACAAGTACAACACAATAGATTAATGTAATGAATTATTATTAAAGGGAGACACACTGAGAGAGAGAGAGAGAGAGAGAGAGAGAGAGAGAGAGAGAGAGAGAGAGAGAGAGAGAGAGAGAGAATCCACTCTCGAGTTAATCTTCGCCCGCGAACTGCGATTTTTGCGAGTTTCCAAACGGCGCAGCAAAAATATCGCGCGTATCGCGCGAAAGATAATTGCTCAAGCTATTTGTGATGTTCTCCCTCGCGAAGCGACGCAACATTGTACGTGTCAGCGTGAATTTTGATATTGTTGAATTTCTCACACCGCGGGGAGTTAAGTTAGTTTTGCTCCGGCAAAACTCTTTTTTCTTTTTTTTTTTTTTTTGTGCCAAGTCCGCGGTTGTTGCATATGGAACAGCTTTCGTACCACTGGATTTGTTCGCGCGTGTATATATACACGACGCAAATAACGCGCGGTCGCTTCGCGCGTTATTTGGGCGCTATCGCTCCCGACGCAAACTCTTTTATCACTTTATTCGGCGGAATGTTGTAAGCGCGTGCGGAAAAGTAATTTTTCAATAAAAGTTAATCGGAAATTCGCGCGGCATACTCAAATTAACACGCGGTGTTAAAACACGTCGAGAGAGCGTGCGGTAAGTGTTTGCGCGACGCATTTTTTTCTTCCCGCCCTTTTATAATTTTCTTCGTATTACGTTGAAAGTTTTTCACAAAGTCAGTCGCTCCCGTGCGCGGAGATTGGAAAATGGAACGGCGGCAACTTGATTTGTATGTGTGTGTGTGTGTGTGAGAGAGAGAGAGAAAGAGCTTAATACGGTATGTTTGTGTGCGAAGTTTTTTGAATAAATTTTGAACACGTTAATCTCGAAATGCTTAATCTGTAACATGCATATTAATGAAAGTCAACGTAAAGATAATCCGATTCTGTTGTTTTCGATGTCACTCAATTATTTCTATCCTAATAAAATATTTGTATATAAATGTTATTTTATTCTTAAAAATAATATTTCATCCGCGCTCGACTCTCTCACAGCCTTGTGGTTATTTTTCTTTTTTTTTTTTTTTTGTTAGTTTGATCGTTTCGCACGCGATAATGTCAAGAAAGCGTTTTTGCCACATAAATAATTTTTTTGTGGAAAAAGTACATAGTTTTGCACAGAGTCGAGCGTTGTTTTTTGCGCTCGTGTGACGTATGACGCGTCACGGTTGGAAGAACGAAATAATAGGAGAGCAAATCTCACGTGTGCTTGCGCTATTGTCAACAGACGTTGGGAGCTCTTTGCCAACGGATGAATTGTCCGGCGGTTCGAGTTCGACAGCGGCCGCAGGAGCAGCGTCGTCCATCGTCGGCGCCGCTGCTGGGAACAACCAGACAAGCTCCGACAAGGATCAATCGGTGTCAGTGTCGTCCACCGTCGTTACACCGGCACCGACCCCGAAGTCAAGCCAACCGGCGAGCACCACTTCGGCGGCGACCCCGACGCCCACGCATACGCCAACACCCACGCCGACCTCGACACCGGTACCTGGTGGCCTTGTCATCGAAAGGAGCCCCTCCGCCGTCAGCGACGCCTCCAAGAGTGGCTCTGACATGGTGGTAAGCCTTGTTCATCTCCTCACGCGTGTAAATCCGACGCGGTTCGCGTGTAAAAACGCAATTTCTATTTCTGGAGAGAGCTCTGCACAAGAAGTGCCGCTACGTTTATACGTGGCTCTGTAGAATTACAAAAGATCTTATCTCGTGTAGTTTTTTCGAGTGTATATTTACGTGTTTATAAATATTAAAATCTCCGATATGCGTGAGACATTTCAAAGAGAGAATTGCAAAAGTCTTTATGAAGGTCTTCTATACGGAACAAAACCTCTTCCGTTTATTCTTTATTTATTTATTTATTTTTTTATTATTTGTGATTACAGGAGCATGGCAATGCATTGTTTGAAAAGACTAATGATACCGATATCCCTTCTTATGTGTCATGATCGTTCTTAATCTCGTCATTCAGCAACTCTCCCGCTCTCTCTTTTGTTCTCTCCCTTTTTGCTTGAAGAGGAGACGATCCGGGGGATCTTTTCTCTTACATTGGGTGGAGGCCATTGTGCTGAATCCCTTTTCCCTGCGTAAAAGGATGTTCTTCACTGACTCTTAATAAGCGCGCTTCTCTCTCTCTCTCTCTCTCTCTCATTCTCTCTCGACGACCTTCTTATTTTATCCTGTAGCTGATAGTCGGTTCTCTCGTGGAGGTATTTTATGCGAGAAAAAAAGAGAGAGAGAAAAAAGAGAAAAAGAGAGAGAGAGAGAGGAAGAGAAGAAGAACTCGAGAGCGCTTCATTCCCCAAAGAAATATTTGCTTTGGAACCGCTCGAGTGGGTGACACGCCGATAAAATCCCGATCGATAGCATAATTGGCCTCATTTGGACGACGTTTCTACGACATTCCGATCCTTTTTATTTTTTCATCCCCTTTTGTTGTCGCGATAATAAGAACAGTGGCGGGGCGGCTACGCCAAACGGGAAATAGAATTATTGGCGCAGTCGACACATTTCCGAGGCAATACATCCCCGCCAATAATGTTTATCTTCGTATCAGCGCGATTGATATTTTTCTACGAAACTTTTTTATATTATTTATTCATATTATTTATAAACCGTTTTTCAGCGAGCGGAAGTGTTTCGGGAGATCTCTCGAATTGATCTCTGAATTTATCATATTTGACTGTTCATATTGATATTTTTGAAAATCCATCCAGTTCGTTTCGAACAAACACACACGTTTGCGCGTTGCGGATGTTTTTAAACTTCCGCAACGTAATATTCAACAAATTTGCTCAAACACATTATGTTCGATGCTCACATTACCTCGACGCAAATAACACGCACTAGTACCGAACATAGTAAATTAATATATTATTACGTTCGCCGCGCGTGTAATTAAAGTAATATATTAACGTGTTATTCGAGCGCGCATTATATTCGAGTGTGTATCTATTGTATAGGAGAGAGCGTTATTCTAAATAAATTAATTGCGAGGCCGTTTAATCGAAAGCCGTTTGCCCGGAGAATTTTTAATCGACTTTTTTATATTGGCACGTTCGCGAGCGCAGCGATTTCTCTCGATTTCTCGACGTTTGGTGTGTGTGTGTGTGTGTGTACATCTGATCGAGTGGTTTTTTTCAATTCGCGGATAAATTGGGCGCCTATATATATATATTCGCTTCCTCCCCCTCGCCGAGACTTTTCCTCTCTTCTCCTGTCTTCGAGCGCGATAATAGGAACAGCAGCGGCGCGGCGCTGCGACGGAAATAGAATTATCGGTAAAGAGTTTCGCTGACGCGCGTACGATACCGCCGCTTCTTCATCGCCGCCGCCGCCGCGCCGGCGAGAGGTTTGCGTGATCTTTAAAATTTATCGTCCATTTACCTCCACGGAAACCGTTTGGAATCCGCCTATATCCCCCACGGCTGCCATTTCGACGGAACATTTAATCGTAACAAATTGACACTTCTACCGTACGGATTAGATCTATGGCCCTTTGTGCGGGCCGCGCGGCCGCACAAGCCTCTGAAACGTACCTACCGCCCACGCGAAAACCAATTTTATTCGATGAAAACGGCACAATTTACGGATTAACACTTTCGCCGCCGTTGCTTTCGAGTTTGCACAACGATGGTGGTCGGTCTCTCCGTTGTTGTGTCTCTCTCCGCCAGTGAGAGCGGCACCCGTAAACAATGGCCAATTCACTTGAAATATAGTAGCCCGAGAGAGCTAAGGGTTTTTTTAGATATTGAAATCGTGCGTGATTTAAACCGCAAAACCACATTTGACTTTTGCCAAATTTATATTTTCACGCCGCTAACAAAATGTTAGCGTTTTCTTCGCGATTGTTTGTAACATCAATAGAATTTCGTTTGTTTAAAGAGTTGAGGAAGGAACATCCGCGTGTATACCGAAGGTCATTTGAAAACGTTTATTACGTCGCGGCAAATTCTGCTCGTTCAGCTGTGACAGTGCGTTTATTTATTTTTTCTTTTTTTTTTTTTTTATTGTTATTAACACGTCATACTCGATTGATCGAAAGTCAGCGATGGTTTCTGGATATCGAGACAAGAGAGAGAGAGTTGGAGAAACGAGAACTTCCGATGTCGCGTGTGTTATAATGGATCTTGATGGATCGATCGGAAAACTTTGTTGTCGCGCGCTACATCGGTTGTACATCAGGTTATGTACATTACAATATGACAAATTTAAAAAAATGTATATATTCTCCACTCGCGTTTCTTAATTCCCGCTCGCACACAGAACTAGGGTATTAGTAAATCGATAATTTCGGTCGGCAGTTTACTCAATATTTTATCACCGGACGCGATAAAGCGAAACGTTTCTCTCTACAATATTAATGGGAGTTTCTCCGCAATCCATTAATACAACACGTAAATTAAATTATAAATGTGAAACGGTTATATCGTTGCGTCGATATTTGAAACGTTTGAGATTAAAATTTCTTCTTTTTTTTTCTTTTTTTTCTTTTTTTTTTTTATTCCCGTACTTATACACAGAACGAATAGAAAATTGGCGATTAAAGTTTGAAGTAGATAGATATATAGCTACTGAAGAGCTCCTGATATTATATTCATCTCAAAAGAGGGAATAAACGGACCGACAACATAATATATTCGGCATTAACGGGCACGATTGATTATCGGCTTCTCCTTCCGCTTTTGTGTGACGGGGAGGGAAAGCCATCTCGACGTCGCTGCCTCGTCAGAGAAACGAGGAGCTTTTCCATCGTGGCGAGTGAGAGCGAGCAAGAGAGAGAGAGAGAGAGAGAGAGAGAGCTTTACTACTTATCCCGAACTAATTTCGGACTGTGAGAAACGATTATCGGATATACGCCAAGTTCGTCCGAAGAACATCCCGCTGGCGGAGTCTTTAACGACACTGACGTGACTCGAATTTGCGGCGGGCAAAACGCACTTTAACCTACCTCCCTTTCAAGTGAATTTCCAACCCCGCGATTTCGGTAAACGCCCGCGTCCGGTCGCGTGTTTAATCATTCATTAGCGCAAGTGCGCAAACACATGCCGCGGGTACGCACGTTTGTGCGACACCCGCAATGCAAATCACCGTCGGTCTCTGTTTCTCTCTCTCTCTCTCTCTCTCTCTCTCGTCTCCGGTTGCGCAACGATAGCGTTCGTTTCGGTCCGCGAATACGGCGAAACACGGCAATATCCCTTTCAAACCTCTCTCTCTCTCTCTCTCTCTCTCTCTCTGTGCGCTCTGTGTTATTTGCACGCAGCAATTACCGGGTCGCAAAAAAATTTTATCGGATTCGCGTTTTAACGAGCCAACAACGACGTCTCTCTTTCCCCTCGGTTAAATCCGAGGAAACGTCTGAACGCGATAGGAGGTCGTTGCAGGTCGGTAAAAATGCGTTTAATTAAATCCGACCGATTGTTTGATACGTCGACCGCTCGTAAATTGGAACGGAGCGCGCATCTCGAGAGAGAAAGAGAGAGAGACGCTGCGAGTCTCAAACTTCGGGATCCGATAACGAACAGCCTTCCCGCGTCTCTTCTTCGCTACTTGCAACTCGACGTTCTCTCATCGCATATATTTCAGCGCATCCGGAAATGGAAAGATAATCCCGCAGCCCGCGGTGAATAGCGCGCCGCCGCGATATCGCGTCCACAGAATGGACTGCTTTATATGGCGACGGGAGACAGAAATCCCTTCCCGGCACAATTAAATCTCATTAATTTTTCGCAACAACAATTCGACGCGCAAAAGTGAAATACATGCCGGGAAGATAAGCAATGAAAAATGAATTGATAAAAAAATCTCGACTCATCGAAGGATAGTCGAGTTATTTGCGAGAGCAAGAGCTCTCTTCTCTCTCTATCTCCATCCTTCTCTCTCTCTCTCTCTCTCTATCGGAAATCGGAACGTTAATATTAAATAGGCTTGTTAATTGCGGCCGTGAGCGATAACGAGAAGCAAACCTAGAACCAATCAAATTTAATGACCTACTGTATCTCGCGAGCAGTCAACAACGCGACGCGCACCTGCTCCTTGGTGAAGTTTCAAGTGACCTCTGACTTATTAATTAAAAGCTATATATAGTTTAGAAAACCAGTTTTGCGATTATATAAATAATTTTCTTAATTTTTCGTTCTAATCGTGCGTATGTGTGTACGTGTGTTCGAACTAAATTTCTTACATTCGAGTTACACGAACTTGCCTATATAATTGCATTGAGAGCGGAGTACTTTAGTCACGTTTTTAAAGACACGTGACCGAAGTAAAGTCACGTGACTTTAGTTACGTGATGTTTTTTCTCTTCTCTCTGTCACGCGACCTTCCTTTAGTCACGTTTTTTTGAAAAAACACGTGACTTTAGTGTTGTTTTACCGCTTCTCTTTCTTTCTATTTTTCGAGTTTGATTTTCATCCGTTATTTCTGACACTTTTCATATGTGTATTATACAGGTTTGTAAGACGGTCATGCTTTGTTCCGTTTCTCTGTGTGTGTTGGCGAGTACTCTGTGTACATTCGAGTTGTGCATATGAAATTGCGTATATTCGCATCCCACGGAAAAATCGGATAAAAAATATATTCTCTGTGCGGAAAGTTTCGAGCGTGACCCGAAAAATTATGAGGAGAAGTGTCATTCGGTTTAATTAAGTCGGCGGAATGTGTTGACACGTCGGATCGAATTTCTCATCGCTGAAAATTTCCCCCCGAGTAATCTTGTTCGTTCCGTTACGTTCGGTAAAATATGTTGCGGTCGGGTGGATGCTGCGCGCCGTCATTACCCTCATTTTCCACCATCGTGCTTTATCCTCATTAGCCCTTTCCTTTTTTTTTTTTTTTTTTTTTACGGCATAACTTACGGTTGTTAGCGTCGTTAGAACTAAGGATGCGAACGAGATACGAAATGTTAAACGGAAAAAAATACCTTTGCGCAGAGAGAGAGAGAGAGATTCAAAACTTTTTAATAACACAATCTTTGCCATAATTTAATATCCTCGGAAAAAGTTCAGATAGAATCCTCGAGAAAAATCACTGTGTTCCTGAAGTATTTACGATCAACTGCAATCAAAATTAAAAGAGAGAGAGAAAGAAAGAAAGAGAGAGAGAGAGAAAGCTTTATTTATTTTAGCGCTTCTGGGACAAGTCCCCTAAAGCGCAGGATAGAGAGAGAGGGAAAGATTTTTATTTCTTTGAATCTTCTTGATTGTTTATTAGATGGTAATAAATTCTTACAATAAAAAAAAATTGACACTTTTTTTAATAACTACAACGACCGAAAATTTCTCTTTTTTTTTTTAATGATCCTCGCGGCTTGTTTTTTGCAGTTGAATACGGAATGGGCTCAAGTTGAAGTAATTAATCTCATCAATGATGGCAGCGGTCTCGGATTCGGCATCATCGGCGGCCGCAGCACCGGCGTCGTTGTTAAAACAATTCTTCCGGGAGGAGTTGCCGATCGGGTAAGCGAAAAAATCGACAATCAACTATTTTCCGACAACAACATTTGGCGCAGAGAGATTGTTTAGCGCATAGATAATTGTTATAAATTATTTCTGACAACCATTGTGTAAAGCGCAATCATTGTCAGCATTAAGTTTTATAAAGTTTCTGAACGCGAATATCAGATAAAATTTCCTGGTTCAAAATTGTGATAATTTGTTACGCCACTTTTATCACAAACTGGAGACTTTCAGCAAGTGAATCTCATCATTAATCAGAGCTTTAACCCTCTGATAAATTGCTCTCTTAATCATAAAGGTCTATTCGCCTCGCGTGCACCTTACACTCTCTCTCTCGTCTTCAAATTCTTATTTTTCTTTCCTCCCATATCGAACTATCGCGCGTCACGTTTATTAAAGCGTACGGACTAGGATGTACGTGCGCGTGCTATGAATGGGTCTTTGGATTTGTGCGACTTGCACTTCGCGAGTTGTTTAAAAAAAAAAAAAAAAAAACGAGTACAAAGAAAAAAAAACACATCGCGCGCGAAATGTGAGAAAATGCTTGAAAACGTCGACGTTTAATTCGCTGAATGACAGTCGCGGAAATTAAACGCTTCTCATCGCGATTGTCTGCCGCAGGATAATCGACTTCAGAGCGGAGATCACATATTGCAGATCGGCGATGTCAATCTACGCGGGATGGGAAGCGAACAAGTTGCCGCGGTTTTACGGCAATCGGGCACCCACGTGCGGCTCGTTGTCGCGCGACCTGTGGAGCCAACTTCGCCGGATTATCAGGTACTTTTACCCCTATATTTCCCTTCCCTTCGCGTTTTGCGATCACAATCGCGCGGTATCGTTTTACCATTTTATTCGAATACATCCGTAACGCAGAGAGTGGTGGCTTTAATAACATCAGCCAGCTAATTAGTAATGTAATTGCATTATTTCATTAATGTGTTATTCCTTAATTGCTGCGTTTAATACATTTGATTTGAAAACTCGACAAATATATGCAAAATGTAATTACGAGTGACAAAAAAATAATGAAGACCGGGATGCGCAAAGCGACAAGATAAATTATTAAGAGAAAAATGTACGCAACGTTGTATAATATATAATTGTCTCACACATACTTTCAGGAAAAAAAAATATTATTTATAAACTACGTTGCACTGGCAACTTGTTAAATAAATATCGAAAAAAATTGTTTAAAACTATCATATTTCTTATATAAAGCAAAATTGCTATCAGAAATGTTTAAACCGATAAGAAATAATTAAACAAATAGAGATAAGAAACAATTACTCGCCGTGTCTAATTTTTTTTTTTTTACAGAAATGCTCGTAAATATCACAATGCCGTGTGTTTTCGCTAAAAATTATTTTCACGCACGTGACTAGCACGATAGTAGCCGTATCACACAAATATATTTTTTCTGTATTTTGTAAACAGAATGTAAACTATTGTAACAACCAGCTCGCTCTCGTATTAGATCCTTTCGTACATTCTTTTGTGATGATATTTTTTTATCACAAAATGAGTTGATGATATCTTTTACATTCTCGGTAATAACAAAGTGGGTTCGTGGGTTTTGCTTCAGACTCAAAGAAGAAAAATAGATACCGCAAGATACGACACACGGAGATGGCACTTTAATCTACTTGCGTTCTCTCTTTTATAAATTTCCTTCCTAATTGTAGCGAACAAAATACAGCGGGAGTAGCATGTACATTTTCTCTTTCTCTCTCTCTCCGCAATTCCGCCGCGTTTTTTTCCATGCGTGCTGTTGCAATTTGTAACGTTGCTCTCTTAAGAACAGTTCTTTTCTCCGCAGAAATTGTGTGTAATCGCGCTCGCTCGCGGGCGCTGAAAGGAGCTGCGATAATGTTTTTGAGCCTCGGTTCATTTGTCAGACCCGCGCGAATTCCCGCGCAAATTGGACGCGAAAACATCACCCGGGCATATTTGCAAGCAGCCGAGTTACGGCAAATACGCGAGCCATTAAATTCCGCCGTCGGTGTTCAAGATGTCCGTCGTGACTGGTAGATTGATGGCACGGGCCGCGGCTCGCGTACGTCATTGTCACGACCCGCCCTTATTGACTATCGCAAGTATAGGACTACTACTACGGTCGAGAGGAAGAGAAGGGATTTCTCTCGCCCAGACGAAATTGCGTTAAATTGCGGATCATTAGGGCGATACATTACCGATCCGCAGTCGGATCGATATCGCGAGAAACTTGTTCGTTCGGTTGCGATCTCGCGCGCGATTACTTCGCGCGATTATACTTAGCCCCCGACGGCGAGTAATCGACGATGAAAAACACTGGTTGCCGCCGGAGGAATTCCTGATTGCACGAACAAGAAGAACTCGACTGGATGTAATTTGGGGATTATGAATGATGCACGGGATGTTTTCTACATGACGGTTCTATTATTTCAGCTGCGATAAAACCGCGGAATCGCGTCTCCCGGAGACCGATGGAATTTCTCACACACACACACACACACACACGCTCCGCGGGGAATCGTGCGCGAAAGATTGCGGGGAGATTGCTTCGTCGTGGGATTAAAATTGAAATACCTCGGCTGCTGCGGCAACTTACGAGCGTCAAGTTTTTTTTTTTTGTTTTTGTTTTTTTTTTGGTTTTTTTTGTTTGTGAAAAAGTGAAGCGTGTTCGGCGCGTGTTTTCGACGTTGTTCAAGCGGCGGAGATGCAACTTTGTTCAACGGGAGAACAGCGGTATAAAACGAAGAGAGCGAAACAAACCGAGAGAATTCAAGCTTTTTAATGAATTAAACTTTTTGACGTTTCTGCGATAATTAAACTGTATAATGTCACGCGCGCGCGGTGACAAAAATGAAGTAACTTCGTTATGAAGTTTCACGTGTATGTGGGTATAAGAGAGAGAGAGAGAGAGCAAGTACATTAAATGCGCGAAAAGAGTACTGAAGCGCATCGGATTTTTCCACATTCAAGAAAACCCTGACGGGTTTCCGCGAGTTTTTTTTTTTTTTTTATTTTTATCTGATCAATATTTATGACCTGCTTTGAGTATATTACGAACGGCTGCCGTTCTCCTCACGCGAATATTTAAACAGCCGAGCTGTTTTCCCGCCGTCAATGTACAAAGAGCACACACGTTCTTAGAGATTTTTTTCTGTTTTTTTTATCTCATAAGGTTTGTAAAAACAAACTCCGCCGCTCTTTCGTCGCCGCTTGTCGATTTGTGAACATCACTTTGCGCTTGTAAACGTAAAAAAATGAGAATCAACAACGAGATGAAAAAATGACACGACGCGCGCGCTTGGAACGGGAAATCTCTTTAATTAATTTTTGGTTGACCGAAAAAAAGAGCCGTTCGGATTTTAAATATAATTTTCTTGCATATTTTTTTTTTTTTTTTTTGTATTTGCTCTTGTAACTGCGAGAATGAAATAAATACGAGAAAGTGGAGCAGGATGAACGAAATCATCGTCGCGCTCTCTGCGCGATTGCGTACAAGCGCGAGATAAATAACATTGTTATTATTCCGCGCACAATCCACCGCAATTTCTGAATCGCGAAGTTTTTCACGAGCTTTGGCGTACAATCCCGCGCGGAGTGGTTAATATTTTATTTACTCGGACATAGGACCCGCAAACTATTTTTTTTTTCTTTTTTTTNTTTTTTTTTTTTTTTTTACTACGGATGAAAATTCAAATCCCGTAGGAAATGCGCTACGTTCGCGCGCGTCATATGGAAAAGCGCATTCGTTTCCACATGTATATAAATTCGCGTTCGAACGAAAGAGAGAAAGAGAGAAAGAAGGACGCGTAAAATCTCTGATCTGTGTGATACTTGCAGGCGCTCGGCAGTCATGCCCCGATCGTTCCGACGAAAATTCTGGGAGATCCCGACGAGCTGGACAGACATCTGGTGCACAGCGTCTCTGCGGAGAACTACAACATGCGACATGTGCAGGGCGGCGACACGAGCTACGACAACGGCTACATGTACTCGCAGGAGTCAGACATTGAAATGCACGTGAGTGCCGCCGGGGCTCGTGATCCATTTTTTCTCGCGTCACGACGCGAACACGAGCATTTCTTTTTCTTCTTTTTCTCTTTTATTCTTGTTTCTTTTTTATTCTGAATAATATCGTATTCCCATCATCCCGCGCGATATGAAAAGAACTTCTCTCTCTCTGTCTACCCTCCAGGCAAGACCCGGTCTCATCATGGACGTGGTACGCAACCCAATGCCAATTGGCACGATGCCAGTTATACCGGCGGTGCCACTTCCGGTGCAGCTCCAGGATCTGCCGGTGCTCACGATGGAGGCCCTCGACATCAATTCACTGCCAGAAATGGAGCGCTTCACGGTCGCGCTTACGAAGGACATCTACGGTCTCGGCATTACCATCGCCGGTTACGTCTGCGAGAAAGGTAACGGAAGGAAGACAGAGTTCTTCTCGACATGAGTGGAAATTCTCTCACTTTTGACTTCTCAAAAATAATGCGAAAGTAGCTTTGAGATAAAAACGTGACATCGTCCAAGATAGTCGTAGATGCTATCGTTGTTAACATACGCAACGTGCCGACCAAAGCGACGATAAAAACGTTTGATTCTTGCAGAAGAACTTTCCGGCATCTTCGTTAAGAGCATCAGCGAGGGTAGCGCAGCCGACTTGAGCGGTAAGATTCAAATAAACGATCGCATAGTGGAAGTGGACGGTCACTCCCTGCAGGGCTACACCAATCACGAGGCTGTTGAGGTGTTAAGACGTACCGGGCAAACGGTAACTCTTTGCTTGGAGCGATATCTACGTGGACCAAAGTTCGAACAGCTACAACAAGCAATCGCCGCGAGCGAGTCTACCTCAGCCTTGAGACTACCTCAGCCGAGTTCCCCGTCGATAACGAGCCTACCTAGTTTCCCCATGAGCGCGGTACATTTAACAATTAGAACTTACTTAAAAAGATAAACGACTTCGTTATAATATAACTTGGAGTAAACGTTAAATATTTTTAAACGTTTAAACTTCAGGGGACTTTTTGTTATTACATTGGCATATTATACAAGTTATCAAGTCTACGTTTGCACTTTGCAGCAGGATGGCGAGACCACCACCGAAATAGAGCCAGAAGGCGAATCGCACACTACCGTGGACAGCGCGATACTGCAAGAAGGCGAGCGTGTAAGATCGTCGGACGAACAGGATGACGCGGCCAACGTCGAGGCTCTATTGAGCGACCCGTCGACCGAGCTAACGCCTCAAATTCGCGCGGCTATTAAAGCTAAGTGGCAGAAGATCGTCGGACCCGATAGAGAGATAGTGGTAAAGTAGCTCGTTCTCGAGCGTAAAATCCTGATTACTAAATAAAAGCGCGCTGCGAAAAACATGTGTATTGGCTTTTTTTGCGAATAGGTCGCCCAACTGAAGAAGTTCGCCGAAGGCAGCGGTCTCGGAATCAGTTTGGAGGGAACAGTCGACGTGGAGAACGGGCAGGAAGTACGGCCTCATCATTATATACGCGCCGTATTGCCGGAGGGTCCTGTCGGACAGAACGGCACCCTGCGTTCCGGCGACGAGCTGCTAGAGGTTATCGAATTTCCATATCTTTCTAGCGAAGCCTTAAGCTTTTTCTCTATAGCGTTTCTTTTCTTCAAAGCGCTCGACAAAGTGCTCTCTTCTCTTGAACAACGTGTCTGAAATAGATATCGTGTTCTTTTGAAGGTGAACGGCTATCGTTTATTGGGTATCAATCATATGGAGGTGGTTAGCGTGTTGAAAGAGTTGCCTATACACGTTCGTATGGTTTGCGGAAGAAGGATCGCTTCCCAAGATCCACTCTGTCCCATCGACACCGCTCAACATCAGGCCGCTTTTCAGACTAGAGTAAGTAGATAGTAAACACGGTGTCAGTCACTGTGAGTCGCCGCCGCTTTAAAGAACCGCCGCGAATATCAGTGTTCTCCCGTAGAGTATTCTCGGCGGGTCTCTGCAGAACTTGTTGCCCACAATGGATCGCCTCGTGAAGGCGAAGTCGGACGGTTCCTTGGCTTCGACGACGACCACGGCCACAGTAACCGACGCGAGTCTAAATAAGATGAAGTCGCGCTCGTTAGAACCGCTTACCGGACTGGCGATGTGGAGTTCCGAGCCGCAAATTATCGAATTGGTTAAAGGAGAGAGGGGCCTTGGGTTCTCCATTTTGGATTATCAGGTTCGAAACGTGTTTTTTTTTTTGTAGCGCAGAATTTGTTCACGCCTCGAAAGAGAAAGAGATTGTTGATAATCATCCGCTCTTTTTTTTTCTTTTTTTCCCGCTCGTTTCGCTTTTAGGATCCAATGAACCCCAACGAAACTGTGATAGTAATACGATCGCTCGTGCCCGGAGGGGTGGCACAGGTTGACGGGCAGTTAATACCGGGCGATCGGCTTCTGTTTGTGAATGACATCGCATTAGAGAACGCAACACTGGACGAGGCCGTGCAGGCGCTCAAAGGCGCCCCGAAGGGAACGGTTCGCATCGGCGTGGCCAAACCGCTGCCAATACCAGACAGTATTGTCCAGGTGAGCGATCAGGACGACCGGATTGAGGCTGCAAGAGACCGTAACGCCGATTCGGCGGCCGCTACCTCGATCGTGGATAGCCACAAACAGAGGCGGGAGTATTTCCGTGAACGCAAGGTCAATGTGACCGAGCCGCCGCACATGGATTTGATTGAGGGTTTGAAACATCAGCACAACCTCGTCAAATCCGAGAGTTTCTAATTTAATTATTAGAAATCGCTATTTCAGTTAAAATAACAAGACTCAAGGCTCTTGCCTCTGCTAAATTTCGCCGTGGTTCGCGTGTCTTCGAGACGGTCGATATACGCACGCGATCGAACTTTAAAAAAAAACCACACACAATCGCGAAGGTTTCCTTCTGTTATCTATCAATATCGCGCTGAAAAATTACGCAACAAATGCAGTTCTTTAGTCGGTTAAAACAGAACGTACGTGCGCACGAATCCGAATGCATATTTCCTACGGAGATTCCGTCCATAAAAGTGAAGCAACCGTCCTGCATTTTTTTTTTTTTTATACATATATGTACTAAATATTATACTAAACAGACTTATTTTGGAGTGTCGTTGAATAACGAGCATGAAATATTGTTTTATTTTATGTGTTTATAAAAATCGTTGAAATTTCTTCAATTGTCGTCCCTTGTATGTATTTGTTGTTTTTTTTTTCTATTGCGCGCATGCACACGTCCGTCGTTTGGTAAAAAAAAATTGGCAGAACCTTCGAAAGAAATAATTGACGTTGGCATGATATCGTCAAAAGGGTATTTTTAATACTTGCCATTTTTCGTGCGACTGCTTTCATAAGACCACCCAAAGCAAATTTAGCACATTTTAGTGGAGAAATGAAACGTTGTGGAAATAGAAATAAATTATTATATTTTATATGTATATATACATCTCTCTCGCACAGGGGGGAGTGTGTATTCGCGCGTGCACTGACCTTCAATAATCTATTTCTATTTCTACATACGTGCAATTGCACATTCGAGAGCCCTTGTGTAAGATTTTTGTAACGGAACATTGGATCATGTAATTTCTTGAAGCTATCATAATTGTCAAAGGTTATTTTATATACAGGCATGCATGATGTATAGTAGTTTATTTGTGTTAAGTTCGTCGCGTCATCTCATATTTAAGGTGCGTATATTTTTTTAGTAGCAGATACTTTTATATGTTACATTTACACATCGACTGATTTTTTTTGTTTTCGATCTTAGATTAAGTGTTTTATTATAATATATCTTTCGTCACAACACTCACTTTTTTAATGAATCGTGGGTCAATGTGAAGCATATTTACTTCGACACACCACCGATATATATATATTTCGTCGCGAAAAATATTTTAAATCTCATCTCAGAGGTGATTTGAACACACACATTAATATTCACGCACAATATCGCAGCGCACCAGGACGCATTTTATACTTGTGCTTTTGCATCCCAAATTGTGTTAATCTGTATGTTTTAAGTTAATCATTTTGTTTTGTATATTGTACACACTGTCCGCTGTGCTATCATTGAATTTAATTTTCTTTATATACCACGTGTGACGGCACATTGTAATAAAAAGAAAACAAATCTGTTCGTTTTGGCACCGAGTAATTTGTGATTGCGATCATTTTAAAAATCTCGCGTTAGATATTTTTCCAAAACTTTTTCCTCGCGTGTAAAAAAAAAGACGGTTTTATATTTTTATACGTGCCAATTTGAAATGCCAGCGTATACATTTACTTGCGAAAAACAGCGCGTGAAATTGGATTACATGTAAAAAATTTAAGCGAAAAATATAAATGTCAAATGTTACAAAAAAAAAAAAAAAATTGACAATAGCTCGATCTCTACAAATGAATAAAATAAAAACAGAAATAAAAACAAATAAAAACAAATAAAATACGTAAGATAAAGAAGTTCTCCATTTTTACCGAGTGCAATTAAAACACATGCATGTAGGTTTGTGCCAATAAATGAGGTGCCGTATATATATATATATATTATATTATTTCGTTCAGTTTGTTTCAAATATCCTGTCATTATCCTGCTATCCAGTTACAGATCCTTCATGTGTTTGTCAGTTTCCTTTTGTGTTCGCTACACAATGCTTGTTTTCTTCGTCATGATTTATATAATAATCGTTTACTTTTTATTTCAGCTCGTTTGCGTATTTTACGATATACTTCATTTTCTATAATAATTTAACGTTTAATATAATTGTATATACTTTTCACGCGCGTTCGTACCATTGCAATATCGGAACATCCATAAGAAATCAATAAAAACAAGAAGAATAAAAAAAAACAATTTTTACGAGTACGCAAAGTTATTTTTCGACGATATCGCAAAGCGCGCGACGAAGTCGTCGTTTTTGTGCCGATATATTTTCAAACAAAATATACGCACACAACGTATTGTTTATGCTTGAAATTACATTTACAATACAATAACAAGTCTTATCTCGAGCATATTTATTTATTTAGGGACTTCTCGGTCGTCGGCCGAAGCTACAAAAGTCACGGAAAAGAAACGAAATTGAACGAAATTGAGGTTAACGAGACTCGCGAAAATTATCGGAGACCAGGAACGCATGTAGATAAAAGAGGTATACGAAGGTATTCGAAGGCGTCGCCGCGTCGCTCGAACTGCCCACGATCACTGCGAGGCATGGCGAGCGGCGACCAATCGGAGCGCGGGGTTCGTAGCTCCTCCCTCCCCGTCTCTGAGTCGACGTTAAGCGAGTTCGACGCCCATCTCTTCGCATACCTCTTGCGCCAACGTGTATTCCTGTTAGCTTTGTAGCATTTTGTCTTCATCTTGGGGCACTTTTGACGACTAGTAATACTCGGATTCTGAGATTGCGCGTTCCCCCTCCTCTTCGCAAACCTCCTGCGCCGACATATTCGCCTGCTACCCGTGTAGCATTTTGTCTTCATCCGGCGACAACCGGTCGTTCAACCGAGGTCGAACTCGCGAGTTCGTTAACCCTCACTTTTATTCTTTTGTTAAATTAATATAATTAAAGTTTGATTGACAATTGTGATGTGTAAATGAAAAACAATACGGTACGCGTACTCGGAATACGTTTACCAAGTAAATAATTTTATATATATACTTAAACAATTTTATATATAAGTAATAAGTTTTAAGGCATTATAATATAATGCTGTGTATATATTATATATACATCAATCGACGTAACTGACACAAGCAAAAAATGATCCTTTTTCCTTTTGTACATATATTTTGTACATATTTTGTACATACATATATCCGGTAGTCTTCTACAATTGTAAAAAATAGCAATAATTAGGTTTTCTTAGGTATATTAATTATATGAAATTATATACAATTATTGCATATGCTACTATTTTTTACATATGCATTTATCTCGACGCAACTGCTTTTGAAGTAACAAATATAAACCGAGAAACAAATTAGTAGAATTTTAAAGCGCAAGCAACTATATTTCTATATATATTTTTCTTTTCATATTTATATATATATATATTATATATATATAAAATATAGATTATTGTTTTTCAAACTTGAACGACTTACGCGTAGATCAATATATCAAATCGTTAATTCTGTGCTCCGCTTCCAAAAACGAAACAATACGGTTAACGACGTCTAATGAGATTTTTTTCGACGACACTCGTATCCTTGTTTTGCGGTGATCAGAAAAATGGGGGAAATAAAAGAAAGAAAGGTCGGACATTCGGCGAACTTGAGAGAGAGAGAGAGAGAGAGAGAGAGAAAAAGAAGTACGCGAATGTACATAATCGGCGCTGCTTTGATCAGCACCGGAGAAAAGTAAAACGGAAAATAATAAAGAGATATGGTGAATACAAAAAAAAAAAGAGAAAACATGAGAGAGACGGTGCGAGAGAGAGAGAGAAAAAGAAAAAGAGAGTTTGATAATAGCGCTCGGGGTGTTTACCGCGGATGGGTTGTATATTGCCCGCGACCATCAACTAAGTAAGTACCGAACTAAAACGATTGTAATAGTGAATGAAAGTTGCCTGGTAGAGTAGCTGAACAAAACAACTTTATTGCATATTTCGACTGACTTCTCTCACATACTTTCAAAAATTTTTTCAAAACTCACCAAAACACACACGATCGTCTTAGTGATCTTTGTTTAGCAAGTTGCAAGTTCGTTTTGAGGAATTATATTTTGTTGCGTATTGTTATATTTGCCATTTGTCTCCTTGCAGTCGGTCGGTCGGTCGGTCAAGAGAGAAAGAAAGAGAGAGAGAGAGAAGAAAGAGTGAAAGAGAGAAAGAGTGAAAAAATAGAGCGAAAGATACATATAGACACAGGTTTTTTTAGTAGACAGATAAAGAGAAAAAGAAAATACGTATGAAAGAGAGAGAGAGAAAAAAAGAGAGAAAGAGAGAGTGAAAGAGCGTGCATTTCAGAAAAGAAACGACAGAATGAAAGATGAATGAGAAAGATGAGTGAAGTCTGAGTGAGAGAAAGAAAATGACTCAAGTAGCCTGAGAGAGTGAGAGAATAAAAGAAAGAGAGAGAGAGAGAGAGAGAGAGAGAGAGAGAGAGAGAGAGAGAGAAAAAAAGAGAGAGAGAGAGAGAGAAAAACGTGTGAAAGGAAGAGAATAAAAGAAAGAGAGAGAGAGAGAGAGAGAGAGAGAGAGAGAGAGAGAGAGAGAGAGAGAAACGTAAGAGTGAAAAACGGAAAGTTTGAAAGAAAAGACGAAAAGAAACTCGTGATAGAACGTGTGTGAAAAAACGAGAGGCAAGTAAACGATCAAGTACAAGTTGAACGATATTTGAATCTATCATCTCTTTGTTTTTGTTTCTTTCTTGATTGTGTCGCCTTTCTTTTCCGTTCTTTTATTATTTTATTCTCGTTTCGCTATCTTCGATCTTTTTTTCTTCTTTCTTTTATTTTGTTTTTTTTCTTTTTTTTGTTCACAAGACAGTTGTTTAAGCTACGAACTCCCACAAGCAAGCTCGTATGTCAAACTTTTCGCCTTTTTGTAGAGCTCTACTACCATTCTACTACTGTCTACTACTCACTGGCACCTTTCTTCACTATTATCAAGAGGCGCTCGTGTGGGGATCGATACCGTACGTTAACTACTACTTACCTGTGTTACTATACCTGAACTCTTCCGATCGACTTCCCGAATACTCGAACGGGGGCGGAGAAAACACGGACGGGGCGCAAATAAGCCTTCGACGGGTCTCTAGCCGCATGGAATATCATGAGCCGCAAGTTACGTAACAAAAAATCGATTCTCCTCTCCTCAGGCTTCCTTTTTTCTTCACTGCTTCAGAAAAAAAAAAACGCGACGCTCTCTTGTTATTAATAATCTCTCTTATAAAAAAAATAAAAAAAAAAGTCCGCGTTCTCTCGAAGGCACGCGAAACGATTATCACGATTATTGTTCTCTCATTAATTGTTCTCGTTAATTAACGTTGTTACTGTTGTGTATCGTTGCTGTTTGTCATCCATTCATTATCGATCGTCACTAATTATTTGTATTTGTCACTGTTTTATTCTGTCATCAGTTTTTTTCCTCTTTTTTATTCTCTAATTATTGTTATATCGATGTCCATCTCTGTTGTTGTTATACTCTGTATACCTTCTCCTCGCTGTGTGTGTGTGTGTGTGTGTGCATGCGCGCGTGCGCGCGTGTGCGTGTGCCTGGTGTCTATTGCGAGCTTTATTTTGCGCAGCTGCATAAAACCTTGAAAAAAAAACGCGGAATCTTCGTACAACAACAACAACAACAACAACTCCATAGAAAAGTTCTCTTGCTGCTACCGCGAGTGCTGATGAATGCAGTTTTTTTTATATATAATAGACTTTAGGGATGCACGATCCACGTTTCTTTCTCGGTCTGTTTTTGTTGATCGTTTTTCTTTTTATTAATTTATATTTGATGTATAGTCACAATCGCTTCTCCCGCAAGCGCTTCTTATGGCAATTTGCACACCGAGAGAAAGATCAGATGCGAACTTTTTTGTTACACAGCGCATGGCGTTTTCGTTGTCTCACACAACAAGCTGTGATACGTTCGGATAATACATCGCGTTTTAATTTGTTGTTTCAAGAGAAACCAACAACAAATAATTTTTTTTTTACACATTTAAAAATTGACGAAGCTACAATCGTTGCTTGAAACAGATTTGTTTAAGTAAAAATTTAAATTCAATTTTTTTAAACCGAAGCGAACTTCACTTATCCGAAGAATAAAATGGTCATGCATCCCCATTTGTTATTATTATTATAAATTCGCTGTATAAGCGAAGCGTGAAAAGTATTGCAATTTGTTTGAGAACTATATTCAATAAACTTGAATGGAATAATATACAATACGCGCTTACAAAGTTGTGACAAAAATAAATCGTCTAGAGAGACGATCTCGTTCTTTTTCTCATTCTTATGAAAGAGAGAACCGAGACGGGAAAAGTTTGCGAGAAAACTTTTCACGCTTTTTCCGTGCGACGCGAAGCTTTGCAGCTTGAGAAAGAGAAAGAGAAGAATATCAATTCGTTGCACGTTTACCGAAGCATATGGCAGCACGAGCGATTATTACGTAAAAATTGCTTCTTCTTGCCGCGACATCTGTGCGCATTCTCGTCGCAAATCTGCGCGCGCTCTCGTGCGTATTCCCGCGTATCTCTCAGCGGCCGCTCTCTGTTATTATTCTTTTACTATATATTGCGCGAGATATGAATTTAACATTTTATACTTCGGTAACTATTTATCATTCGGTCGCTGTCGCGATAGATACGCTCGCTCTCGACTCGCTCTCGACTCGCTCGATGGGAGAGAATAAAATCTTTGTCTGACGTAACGTATCGCACGCACATATATTTCTGATAATTTTTCCGCGCCAGACTTTCTCTTTTATATGTGTTTTTAAAATATAATATTATATTTGCATATCCGTATATGTGTGTGTGTGTGTGTGTATAAATTACGTAAAAACTAAAACTGTTATATATCAAAAATTTACGAACGTACAAATTCCTCTCTCTGATCCCATCGTGCGTTTCGTGCGATATGTAGAAACAATTCTGCTCTTTTTAGCGAGTCCGCAGTTTTTCTCTCTATATGTGTGTGTTTTATGCACTTGTTTTAGTTTTTTAAATAAAAAATAAAGAGAGAGAGAGGGAGAAAAGGGCGATCGAAAAGAACAGAATTGCAATATCGCGTTAGCGCGCTTTTGTAGAATTTAGGAAGAATGTCGCGCGAATAAACGTCGTTGTCGTCAATACGTGATTATATAAATATGTATATATATATTTATAAATATATATATATATATATATGTTTGTGTTATATAAAATACAAAAATTTGTGTGTCGCACATCTCTTTCTAACTGTGATATTTCTTTTTCATTTTTCAGAGCGAGGCATAAGCGCGCCGAGGCCGGATACATTTCCGACGCAAGTTACGCATTTTACCGCAGTTATCGACCAAAAAAAAAAAAAAAAAACGAACAAACCCAAAATACCAAAATAGAAAATAAAATTTACCACGATAAAAGCAGTATATAAATCCTTGTTTATGCCCGTTTTAATAATAATGACAACGTCGATATTCAAGACGGCGTACTCGATGTAATTTCACGCGCGTGACCGCACGTGCGTGTGCAAGAGCGGGGAAAAAAAAAAAAAACAAAAACAAAAACAAACGCGAACACAAGAAACGAAAAAAAACCGAATGTCCCGTCCTTTCATTCGTTTATCTCAGATTTTTCCCCTATTGCCAACATTCTGAGCTTAACGACCCGATTTGTGGAATCATTCACGAGTGAATCGAAATCGACGTGTTCGTTTTTGATTTTTCAAATAAGTCGAGAGATCAAATTAAACATAAAATTTACTTGATACGTAAGGAATACAATTCTTATACAACGTACTCTATATATGAATATATATATATATATATATAAATCAAACGAATGATTTTCGAACTACGACGAATTTTGTAATTTCTTTTTCTTTTCAACGGCCGTGCCGTTTCTTGATGTACTTCTAAATTCGTGATTGTTATGAAAAATTGTATCATTCTAACACTTTGTTATATTTTACCAGAAATATATAGAAATATACCAGAGAGCATTACGTCTGTGCGTGTGTGTGTGTGTGTGTGTGTTAAAGATATACTATTGTACGAAATATCGCGACAAAGTCGCGTGTTCTCACAAATTTTTTTTGTTCCTTAAAGAAAAAAATATTTTATTATTACGCAAAATTTGCGTTACCTTACGATGAGAATGTGTGTTTTTTTTTTGTTATTTACAAAATCTTTAATTATCTTTTCTTTGGTCCAATTTTCAGTATCAATAAACGTGTCAGTAAATAAATAAATTCTGCGAAGTAGAAGTTAGGATTCGCTCGGTTTTTCTGTTACAATTGTTTCAACGAGCGTAACAAAGCAATAGAATGATAAACGGAGAATGATGAACGGTCACGAACGTTTTCAAGTAGGCTGTTACAATATGGATGTTCCGTAATGCAAGTGGTACTTACAAACGCGAATCCGCGTTAGCGAATGAATAATATCGCAAACTTGCGTGAAAATTGGATGAAAAAAAAAAAACGTATATCTCGAGATAGAATATATTGAGTGATATGATTGTGACAATAGGTAAGTTTTCACATTACAAATCTTTTTGTCTCTCGATAGGCTGCTTCCATAAAATTTATAGTTGCATAGTTTATTACATCGTAGAAAGGTTTACTTAGTTGTTACAATATTAATTGATTGTTTTAAATATTGCCATATTTTTTATTATACACCTGTATGGAGAAAAGTGAGGGATGCGGTGTAACAAGAGCGTCCGAAAAAAAACAAAAAAAACAATTGGTTATTGGAGACCAAACAAATCTGCACAATAAACATATGTCATATATTCTTTCGCACCCCGAGAGACTCCGTGTCTTGATTTTTAGAAGCCTTATTTCTTGGATATTTACCAATCGACAAGAGTGCGCGACAAGAAGCACTTGGCCATCGTTATGCAGCTTTAAGAAGTTTCATCGATTGCCAGACTTCTGTGCAGTCGATTGCAGAGAGTCTCGTCTCCGTTTTTTAAACGCGATTCTTATCTCCCGTCGCGTCGCTTTATTTCGCGTGCACGCGAGATTGGAAAGTTTATCCCGAATAATTCCGTTCCGAGTAATTTGCGCAAGAGAATCGATTCAATCGGTTTGTCGTTCGAGTGAATTACTTCGATACAACGAAGTTACATCGAACGAAACGAGTCGAACGGCGGATAACTCGTTTTCATTCTCGTCTCACTGAGAGAGAAGCCGAAATTCGTCTTTTTTTTTTTTTTTTTATCGCACGTAATCGCGAGAGGAGAATTATTTACCGAACGATACAACGCGACGCGAAATTAGCGCTTCCTTCTCGGTCAGGTCACTTATCTAATTGCGCTCGATAACCGGTTTCTTCGGCCTAATTCGGTTAAAAGCGCGCGCAAATAAGTGCACGCCTTCGGTAAATTGTACTTCGTAAATTGCAGTTAGACGTCGCATTTCCGATGCGCATTAACCGGTGTGCATAAATTAAACGAAATGCTTGCGAAGCGTCATCCAACTTCGTTTCTGATATTTTGCGTCAACGTGTGTAATTTATTTTATATGTCCTTCGACTCCTGAATCCATCGTAGAGTCCGCATTCGGTAAATGATTCTTCGTCGTTTTATTTTTGAAAAAAAGAAAAAAAAAGAGTCGGTTACGCACGACGATGGTTTGCATTGTCATCGACATACGCGGATTTCACAATCCTATTTGAAAGAAACTCTTTAACTTTAACTGGATTATCGGCAACGAAGAGATTACCTGTATATTGTTAAGCGACGTTTACGTTCATATGTCGCTACGATCCGTCTTATTTTTTTTGTTTTTTTGTTTTTGTTCTGTAAACACACATCTGTGCGAAAAAAAAAACATTAGAGTTTGTTTCTCACACTCTTGCGCGCGATCAAGCCGCCGCACTTCTCTTCGATCAAATCGTTTTAGAATTTAGAGTACGAGACACGCTAGAGCTATGTAATTACTGAAGTTTGTACCAATTGTCTAATTATTGTTTTTCTCTTTTGCTCCTTTTTTGTGCTGCTCGATTCCACAGCAGAAGATGACGCCCAAGATCAAACGAAGCAAAAGTTTTCCAAACGAGAGCGAGACGACCGATCGCGTTACCGAGCTCGAGGACTTGCTCTCTTCGAGATCAGGTATTGTTGCAAAATAATTTAATGCAAAATCACTTATCGTCGCTTTTATAACAGATTTTTAAGACGCCATTTCTTTTCTAAAAAACACAAGCGTGTAAAATTAATAATATCACCACCAACACGTAAAACACATGCGTGAAATTGAAGTAAAATCGATAAACACACGACAATTATTATGAATAAACAATTATGCGATTCTTATCTAAGTTACAAAACAAATAGTGGTAATTTACCTGATGACTCGTAATTTTTATCAGTCGTGTCTGAGACGTGTTTCGCAACACGGCGAATAAAAATTTCCATTCAAAAACAAGCGCGTTCTGAACACGACGGGTTCAGATAACGCTATTGTTCCGGAACAGAGGATATGTCGCGTCTTGTTTCGCGAGACACTATCGCGATTTCTATGCGAGCTTCCTTTCTTCTTCCGACAGAAGCGTGTGTCTTCTCTGACATAAACATATACAACGTAAAGAGAGAAAGAAGAGGGAAGAGAGAGAGAGAGAGAGAAGCGTAACGGAGCAATTTGCCATTACCATTCACGTCTGATATACGAAAGCCATTAATTTTGATCTTGCGATTATGTAGACTACCTTTACGGATACTTTATACACAAAAGCGCGCTGTGCTCCCTAACGCACATTGCGCTGTAACACGCGATATCCTTTCACGCCACCACCGTTCGAGCACCGAAATAAATACACTCGGAAGAATTTATTTATAAAGTGCGACTTCTCAATAATGCAAAGATGCGGGAAATTTTTTCGCGATCAAGAAAGTCAAGATTTTCAATTTTTCTTTCAATTTTTTCGCGATCAAGAAAGTAACATCTCATCTCATTAAACATGTAATATACAATTAAACTAGTTTGTGAAAAATATTCTTGTAAGATCTCTTAAAATTTTTTTAATAGCATTTGTAAAACTTTATTTTTAAAAAAAGAATAAATACTTAGCACGCGAATGTCTGTCGTAAGTAAAGATTTTTGTCGCGCGATTATTCTACGAAGAAAATTCTTCGCTATATTCGCAGGATTCAGTGAAACATCGACGAACAAACCGGAAATCGACGAGGACGAGGAAGACGATTGGAAGGATGCGTCTCCGATTACGCCGATCTGCAGTCCCGCGCGTCGACCTCCCAGGCTTCATCATCGGGACAAACGGTCACCGACCAGATACGTCGACGTCGACAACGACGTCGAGATCATTCACGAGTTCTATCCGACCACGTCCAAGACGATGCACGAGGAGACGAGCATCGTGTCGTACGGTGGCACGATAATCGTCGAAACGACGAGGATACCCAGACACACGAAGGACGCGACAACGAGAATGGAGAGGGTGGCGCCGAAGGTGAAATTAAAGAAGCAATCGTCGTCCACGGAGGTGGATCGCGTGCCTCCCGTGCAGGAGGAACCGTCGTCCAGCGCGGAAGAAGTGTCCAAGGTCACGACGAAATCGTTGCGAAAATCAAGGGAGGAACGCCGGAAGACTTTGAAACGCCACAGCAGCGCGGAATCCGAAGGACGTACGTCCACGTCGAGGGAAACGCTCGAGAGGTCGGACACGTCGTCGGAAAAGGGCGCCAAGAAGAAGATCCTCGCGCTGAAGGAAGATACGTCCAGACGGAAACTGGAGTCGCTGGGAGACGAGGAGATCAGGAGAAAGGCTGAGGACAGTTATCGGCGATCGAGGGAGGAGAGAAAGAGTTTGAAAGAACAAGAGTGTATCGAGAGGGTGACGGAGTTCTTGACGAGACACGGTATTCTCACTGTTCCTACTTATCCCGACAAGAGTCTCGAAGCGGCGGAATCTCTCGTTCCTGAAAGACACGAGGACGAACAACCGGAACAACAATTGAGACGACCATCGGCCGTTAACAAAGAAGAAGAGACTCCCTCAATCGATACGACGCTCGTCGCGTTCGCGAAGAGGAGGGAGAGTTTGAAGAAAGTGCCTGAAGTGGTGCAGGAGGCGACGGATTCTCTGACGGATTTGAAAGTCACCGCGAAGGACGCCAGGAGACTTTCGGAGAGCAAAAAGCAACGACCGATCTTGGAACGAGCCTCGGCAGCCATTTCGGATGTTCAACAACCCGAAGCGACGATTCAAGAACCGGCAAAACGACCCAGCTCGTTGAGAAAGAGGAGAGATTCCTTTTCGCGAGAATCCTCGAGGGAATCGCTGTTAGAGGAGAAAAAGGAAGTTAGGATTCAGGAGGACGTTCAGGAGATCTTCTTCGAGGACACGAGCGAGCAGGTGAGGCGAATCGATAACAAAACAGATGTAATTTAAGTAAATATTAATTTTTTTATTGCGTAAACATCTCTCCGTACACAATTAACAAAACTAATAAAAATCTCGAAATATATTTTACGTAAAAAAAATCGGAGAATTTTTAAATTCTCGAATCTCTCTTGTATTCTTTTAATGTGTCGCCCATTACAGATAACCGAACTCTTGCCGGAAGTCCAGTTGGTGAAAGCCAGGATCATTACGGCGGAGGAGGCGACCGCGCTACGATCCGAGGAGACGGTCACCAAAATCGAGATCCACTCGCCGCCGGAAGTGGTCGTGGGCCACGAGACGGTCAAGCCGAAGTTGATGCGAGCCCCGTCGCCGGAAATCGTCTCGTCGTTGCAACTGCCCTCGTTGGCGAAGTCGACGTCCGAGAGCACTTTGATGAAGGACAAGCCCGAGTCCGGCGAGGATCAGAAGGTATCCGTGAGAAACCTAAAGCCCGAGATTCTTCTGGACTTGTCGAAAGTCACCGACAACAGCGAGGATAGCGAGGTGACGCCCGAAGACGACAGGGATCGTCACAAAGAGAGGCGATTCAGCAGAACCGGAAGCGAAGGTTCGAAGAGATTGATCAAGATCCAGAAGGAGGAACAATTTCCCTTCAAAGTCAGCAGCCTCGCGATCCCGGACAGACCGGAACTGACGGTTCTGCGTGACGGGGACACGACGAGAACGACGGAGGAAGCGAGAGCGGACGATGAAATTTCGAGGTAAGCGAATATTGTTGGCTGATCTATTTATTTTCAAAAAAAAAAAAAAAATACAGAATCTCGATATGAGTCATGTTTATTTAAGTGTGTCAAAGCGGGGTCGCAAAGGTTCGCTTCTAAACGCATGGACAATTACAATTGTTGTTAAAATAAATCAGGAGCAAAAATGTAGATTAAACAATAAAAGAAGTTATCTAAAAAAGTAGATAACGATTTCACCGCGCGACGATAATAATGCGATTAACATTACTCGATTGTGAGTTTCTCAAATCTTTCATCGCGGGAAGATATATTGTGTTTGCGCACTATTCCACGAAAGAGATCAAAAATCTTTTATATCTTAGCAAGTGTTCGATGTCAACGAAGCATTTCGTCACGAACGAAAAGATCGTTCGCGAAGATGGATCTTTTGCTGCGGAAAGGGCGCGCGGAATAATAAAGCGAGCTCTTCTGTTTGCGGTCTACCGCGATCGCCGTTATATTAATAAGTTCATGCGACGTTCTCGGGGCTTCGAATGTCGATTTACAAACAATATTGTTTACCCATCGCAGTTTGTCGATCCCGATTAGGGTTGGATTACACGCACAGCCATAGAAACCCCGAAGTGCTCGTACAATTTACCGGAAAACTGGGTCACCCCGCAGTTAATACGCGCTGCAATATAACTTTTCTCGGTCCCGAAAATTCCGCGAAAAAGCTCGAGAATTTCGCGCGCGCGCAAAAAAAAAAAAAAATAAAATAAAATAAAATCCGCAATAAAACGGAGCGCGCGTGAATTTTTATAAATGTCAAGCGCACACGCGGAATGAAAGAAAACAAAAACAAAAAAGAAAACAAGTAGCAGAAAAAATGTATACGTTCAAGAGTTTTGCGTCTGCGGCGATGATGCATCGATGTTCATTTTTATGCGTCGCGTCGTTGCAACGCCGCGGTGTAACGAGCAACGGGAAAATCTCGATTATACGAACGCAAAACACACAGCTCTCGCTTCGGGTTTTTACAAGTCCGAAATATGGAAATTGAGAGAAAATCTGGACTAATGTAAAAGATTGATAAATAATTCATGCCGCGGTAACCGGAAAACGTTAAGCGAATTTGCACACTTTATTTACACTTTTTTTTTTTTCAAGTCCCGCTCTCGCGTCGGGATTCGACAAAATTAAATAATTAATTTATTCATACACGTCTTTGCCGCATTCGTCGTCTTCCGAGAGCGACTGCTTTTTAATTCATCAAAAGATACATTGTGGGAAGTCGGGGGGGGGGAGGGGACGGAAGATAAAAACGTCTTCCTCTTTATATTCTTAAAGACTGCGTTTTTCCACTCTTGAGAAGAACTTTTTCATTTACATACATTTACGCCGCAAAGTTCTCGCTCGCAGGATTGCGCAGAGATTCCGCCCACACGCGAATAAAGCCGCAAATTCCGCCAAGTGTTGTTTTCTTTGCGGATTTTCGTTCGGATTCCGCGTTGAAACGCGTACCTGGCGTCACTCTGCCAGAGATGCAATATTCACTTTTTTTTTCATCGCATCGTTTGTTTTACAAATTTTTAAATATTATCGCGTCTGATCATGTGTACTAGATTATTTATAAACTATATTGCGCAACTACACGTCAAAAATTTATAAATAACACACCAATTCGTATGCTAAAGTTCACATTTGTTTACGCGAGATAATTGCGTGAGATTTAAACGATTGATGTTGTCATTACAACAGCGCCGTGTCAGAAAAATAAGCATTGCGTCTGACGTAATCGATAATAGACTTCGAAATAAACCGAAGTGTGGCAGAAGACCGATAGAGAGTCAGACTTGCTCGAGAGTTCGCTCGGTTAGAAACGAATCTCGATTCGCAAAGGCGATGCAGAGACGTGGGAGAAAATTCCGCCGAGCTTAACTAGGACTGACAGCGATGTTAATGGGTGGCGAAAGAGAAAAAAAGCTGATAGGTCCAGACGTTATAAAAGGGAGAAAAGCTGACACGGACGCGACGAATCGGAAAAAGACAAATCGAACGCTATGTCGGATGCGAAGCAGTCGAAAGCGACGCGGATTGACATCCGCTGGGGGAGAAAAAAAAAAAGACGGCGCGTATACGAACGGTCGTTACGTAACGACGAAATGGCAAAGGGAAATAAATGTGCGCGAGACGTCGGAGAAGTGCGACGCACAGACGCGTCAAACACGACGGAAATGATACCGCGCTGACTGAGAATTAGAAAAAGGTCGAGCGATAACAAACACACGTACGCGATGTGACACAATCGCTGTGTTACAAGGAAACGAGGAAATACGCGCGCGGAATTGTAAAAGAGCGGAGAGATGAAAAAACCAGGAAGATACGAGCGGAATTGCCGGAATAGCTGCAGAAAGATAAGGTGAAAGAGGCAGCGGAAGAGATCGAGGTGGAACGGGGAGGATGCCGTAAGAGGAGGAGGAAGAACGGCGAGGCTAAATCGGAGAAAGACGAATAAATACGACGCGGAAGAAAAACAAAGAAACAATAACGAAGTCCATAATCAGTATGTAACAAGTTTATTTATTAAAATGAACGAAGTAGTGAGAGATGCGCGTATAAAAACAGGGGATTTGGAATAATTTAGGGTAATCCTTTTTTTGGTAATAAATAAAACCTAAAACTTCATATTTCAATTTAATTTTGTGTGCGAAAATCAAATTTTAATTGAATTAATTCTATCGATTTATAATTTTAATGCCTACGCAATAATTTTGTTTAGCCTTGATTAGCCTTTTGTGTCCCGTTATTAAAATGTGTTACGTTGAAAGCTTGAAAATTGTGAAGAAATATGGTAATTGAACTATGACCTAAAAGCGCGCTATCATTCAATTTTCGACGGGGGAGTAAATATTAAAGTGACTAAAATAATAAAGTCAGCACGAATATATGAATACATCAATATGTGTAAGTTACTTTTCATGGATTAGACTGCTAGCGTATCAAGTGTGTGCCCGCGTTTTTGCTTCATTAAGTTGTTCTCCACCCGCGTGAGACGTTTTTAATTGCGTTCCCGAGCAATGCTGCTCCGCGCTTTTCTAAAAAACCTCGGTTTCAATCTAGATTTCAAAAGTTGAGGGGATATAAAAAACGTGTGTATTTATTTATTTACACACGCAATATATAAAATATATTATTTATTTATTTACACGCAATATATAAAATATATAAAGTATATATAAATCTATACATCAAAAATATTGAAAAGATAAAACATTTTTTTTATAAATAATTTATGAAACTTCAACTAGATGAGATTTTAGTTGTTCTATTATATTTCTTATATATGTAATTTCGTCAAAACTCGATGTTACACACATATATCGGTCTCTGGAGAAAAGCAAGGTTCTGGTTCTCATCCGTCAAAGACTCGTCGTCACTTATCGAAAATTGGCTCTCGGCTGATACGACATGTTCGGGATTACTTTATGCCATCCGCACATGCACGCCAAAGCGCATGATGCATAAATCTTCGCAACTGTGCGCGTGTGAATCCATATATGTGAATATACGTATATATGTATATATATATATATATATCTTTACGAACACGTACGTATATGCGCTTTCGGATTTGTCCAATAACCACGGTCGTCTTTTTACCGACGTTTTCAGTCACACATACACGCGCGCGCGCGACGCATCTACAAACGTTCTCATTTCTTGCGTGCCATTCTGCACATACGACGCGCGCACATATATGCCACGTCGCCTTGTAAGTCTCAAACACACACGCGGACGCGTATCTACGTACATGTTCTCACGTTAAATATGCCGCGCACGCGTTCGTTTCTCCTATACAATTAAGAATACCGTGTTCGCATATACATGACTACGTATACGGTGTCCTAGAAAGGAGCGTATGATATGAACTTGCATAGAGAAATATGTCGTAGAGATCGCGCTCTTGACAAATTTGTTCGCGAGAATCTTGATGTAAATTTACGCGTTTAAGAGATCAAGTCAGAAGTGTAAGTAGAAAAATTAAGGCTCTCTCTTTTAAAGAAACTTAATCTATAGAACAAAAATGTGTGCGTGTGTGTGTGATTACAAATCACGTGCGTGTATTTATTTTTTTATTTAAATCGACGTTTCGCACTGATAGAAAATGAATTGTTCACAGTTACGTTACACAAATCTTTCAGCTGTCGCGATATCACACGCATAAAAACAAATCGCATTCGATCATCGTCTATTTCATCATTTTCTCATTAAATGTAATTTTTTTCACGACACCTTGTATGTACAAAACACTTCATACGCCAAACACACGCGCTCAATGACCAACAACTGCGCGCACATACACACACACACACAGACACATACATACTTCCCACACGTGTGTATATATACATATACGTACGTGTTACGTCGTCGCGCAGAGCATGGAATCGAGCGCGCGCACGCACGCACGGAATACTCCCGCGGTAGGAACACGAGTCACCCGCGCCTCAAGCAGTCTACGCGCGCGTCTACGCTCGGCATGTTATCATCATCGCGATTGCGCGTCTTGCGCTCGCACAATCACTCGCGAGTGCAATCGCTCGCTCGCTCGCTCGCGCGCGCGCACGAACGTATTTGCTCACCTGTGTGTGCGCACGTGTGTGACGAGCGCGAACACACGCGCGCTTCGCAAAAGAGTGTCATTTATTAGATCAAAGGAAGCCAGTTTGCAGTGACGCGCCGAAGACACAACACCTTGGCTTCCGTACGGGCGACGTAACGTGAGAAACAAATACCCGCGCGTACTTCTTTTCCGCGTCGCGTTCTGCCGCTGAAGGTTCTCGACAAGCGCCACTCTTTCCTCGTGCTCGCGCTCGAGTATCTTTCTTCTCTTTTGACTCGCGCATCTTCCAGAAGTGCGACTCGATCTCGGTGTGGAAAGAATTAAAAAAAAAAAAAAAAAAAAAAGAAGAAGCGACGGAACGACGTCAAAGAAACGACGGACGTGCCTCTCGGAGTCTGAGAGCGTCGCGCAAAAAAATCTTACCTCGCTTGGATAACGGAAGTTGAAGTACGTCATGTAACTGCCTCATCCGAACGTAACTGGCGCTTCTTAGCGTTGAGAATCGCGATTCTGTTTTTTTTTGTGTCATGAAACAAATAAGAAACAATTGCATACGATCAGTCTCGACGAGTTTCAGTCGTCGCGATTGTTCACACACTTTGGTAAATACGTAGAAATGTGTCGCGACAAGGATTCGTCTTATGTAATGTTCAATTTACAATTTCCGCGAGTCAAGTTGACTTAAAAATAAATATATATACAAAATTGATCTACATGGTCGCGACTGCGGAAGAAATTTTTTAGTTGCGAAGGTCTCGACACGAAGCAAATTCGCTCTTCAATTAGACGATTTGCATGATTTCAAGTTTTGTACCGAATACAAAGATGATCTTTTCACGAGAGAGTTATGTAATAAAAGAGAAATGTCAGAATTGGAGTGCGCGCGCGCTTAATATCGTATTATACAAGTTTTTAATAAAGAGTTCACAACTTATCATTTTAAACACCATTTTACATGTAAATAATATTTCACACGTATCGGATTATTTACACGTATAAATAATATTTTATATAATAATAGCAGAGATATTTACAAATAGTATTTTACATAATAACGCTACTACAAATTTTCTCTCTCTCGCGAAATATCGAAAAGTGGAAACTTTTTTTGAAAAAAAAACGAGAAGATATTTTTGGTTCACAATATCATAGTCATTTGAATACAGAGAGAATTTTCTCTCTCTTTCTCTCTCTCTCCGCTAGAAGCAAACACGGCGGCAGATCCGTCACGTTCTTGCGTAGGATTTATACTTTATGTTCACGTGTATGTACATACGGAAAATGTGCACACGTTCCGCATCGAAAGAATATCGCGTTTTTCCTACAAGCAACCAATAAATAATCCACGTATATTATCATCATCGGTTGCGCGCGGTTTCTCGTTTCCGTTACAGGACAACAAAAATATCGCGTTCGAAAAATATTTTGCGCAAACTGCAAGCTTTCGATCTGTTTTTATTTTGCAATAAGATCGAGCTGGGAAAATAAATTTTTTTTTTTTTTTTTTTGTATAAGTCGCAAACTTTTCCAACGTTCTGTTGTTATTGCTGCCGGTAACGCATTGCATCAAAAGTGTTGCAGATAATTAATCGTATTAATCTCATCTGGCCAATTAAAGATATCGCGTCAAGAGCCACTTATCTTTTTTTTTTTTTTTTACGCCTGTTACGAGTCATCGCGACGATGTTGCGTGACTCACTGTTAATTAGTCCCAATCGCATCAATAGCATTCTACCGTTGATTTCCAACAAAATACTATTTCTAGATTTTATTTTCGCGCTATATAACGGCACGTGATAATTTTCAAGACGAAAGTAGTAATCATTTTTCTCCGTTACGATTCATCTTATCTAACGATAAGTAAGTATTTTTTTTATACGGATGCGTAACAAGGTGCAATTAAGAAAATGCCGTCGCGCGCGCAATTGCATCCGACGATCCGATTCCCGTCGCGACGATCCGTTTATCGCTACAATAGCCTTGTCCCGAAGAATAGAGTTTCCGCTTCGTTGAGCATTTGATTTGAATTCTCGTCGCTCTGACCTTTTTTTTTTTTTTTTCATTTCTCTCAAGATCTCGACGCGAGGAATACGTCGACGCGCCGAGGGATTCTTCGATTTCACCGAGCGAAGTTGCCGATCGCGCGGCACAGGATCGACGCGAGGAACAAAAGGAGGATCGCGACACCTCCGATCGGACTCCTTCGCGCGAAAAACCCTCGCCGTTGTCGGAGGAAGTGACTCGTAGATACGAAGAGGACAGTTTGATCTGCAAGGAGCATTCTCTCGAGTATCAGAGCCAGACGCTCGAGAGCCAATCGGATCATCTGTTCCACGAGGCGATCACTCCTTCGCTTCTGGAGGATCTGTCGGAGGCTCAGGAGACTTACGACGAAAGCATCTCGGAGGTCGAACGCAGCTTCAAGGAGACTCATTCCCAGTACTCGCCTAAGGAGAAGCGCGACGTACAGACGCAGACTGTGCAGGAGTCGAAGAGCACGCAGTGCAGTCCCGAGCAGAGTGTAACGAGTCCCTGCGAGGAACCGTTGTCTGCTATCAGTCCGTTCCGCGTCGGCCAGAAGTACTTCCAGAGCCCAAAGCGGGAAGTGCAAACGCAGACGCAGGACGAGAACAAGAGTGTTCAGTGCTCGCTCGAAGACTTTGGTGATCTCGCGAGAAGCGACGATCGATCGCAGGAGTCGAAGAGCGTTCAGTGCATCCCGGAGGACATATCCGCGAGATCGTCATCCGACAGATCGAGATCTTCCTCGCGGGAGGACGCACTGCGCAGTCCGCGACGAGAAGTCGAGGTACAGACCTATCAGGAGTCAAAAGCGATCCAATGCAGCGACGACGAGCTGCTGCTCGAGGCTGATCAAGCGAGCATCGATCGTCCGGAGTATTCGTTTCAGAGCAGACCGACGAGCTCGACGTCCAGGAAGACCGAGAGCTCGCCCTCGTCGATCTCGCCGAGTTCGCCGCGGAAGTTTCCGACAGTCGTCTTCGTGGAGCGCAGAGGGGACATGACCGTCACGCACAGAAATCACGATGGCGATGTCACCTGGTCCAAGCACTGGGGCCCGGAGAGATTGGTGGAGATATACAGAGAGCCGAGGACCAGCCTAGGGCTCAGCATCGTCGGCGGAAAGGTATGATACGATTTTCTTCATGTGACCTTGACACCGCGCGAAAGAACGGGAGAATGTAAATTTATTTTTGTTCGCGATTTTTTGTAAATTCTTTTTTATTTTTAACATGTAAAATGTTTACATTAAATTTTATAATATATATATTTTTTAAAAATATATATATATAAATCATTACTTCTCTGTTATAAAATATTTTGCACTTATTTCAACGAGCGATTTTGTTATTTTCAAAATTAGTTCTTCGTTGTCGCGTGTTAAGTTCGTCAATTAAAGTTAAATTTTATTCAACCGATTCGCGCGATCGGTGCAAGATAATCCCGAATTATTGTGTGGTTCGGAATTATTTTTCTCACGCGACCCCCCACATGGGGTCCACATAGTTTTTTCGTATAATTCTTTTATTAGCACGCACGAATATAACTCGCGAGAAACAGGCGAGAGAGAGAGTTGGTCCACCGATATTGCTCCGGTGTTTTATAGCTGGCTTCCCTCTCTCTTTCAAATTGGGAATGTTACGACGGCTATTGAAACATTCGGACAGAGTTGGAGAAGTAGGTCGAACCAGATGGTTTTGCTAGTAAACAGATGGCCCGATAGATCTGTTCCGTATACCGGATGATCTGTAGCTCGATAATTCAAACCTCGATAATTAACGTCGAAATTTAAACCCGACGTCGACGATGCGACGAACCAATATATACGCGTTCTCCGTCGGGAGATCCCGTTCTCGGATGTGATGTATCCTCGTGGATATTTAATAAATTTAAATTGCGATTTCTCTCGTCAAACAAATTCATCGCGACAACCCTCGGTTAAAGGGGGGGGGGCAGGGGGGACTTTATCGCGCGCGAGACAAGCGGATATCGGGAATTGTTAGTCTCGACGAAATGGAATTTAATCAATTCAACGCCTCGCCGATGCACATCGACTCGCTAATGTACATCGTCCGTAATACGTTCGCCGATGCGGACTGCATCGGTTTAAGTGCATTAACGCGCGCCGGGATAGTTTCCTGACATTAAGCCGAACAAGAAAGCGGATATAATAGGATCATTGGCTTTGGCTTGCGGTGACCGTTCCGTTATTTTGAAAGCTCGTTAGAATTATGTACAAAACAAGTTACTGAATGCACATCGGCGGTGGCGGCGGCGTCGCGCGCATTTGAATAATGCGGCTGTACTTTTAAGCGCATAAATTTATGATCGCGCAATCCCACCGGCGCGCGCGTCGCGGCTGCGTGATATAATTAATTTCACGTGTACTCCCATCTTTCCTCCCTCCATTCCCCCTTATCGCTTTGTGGGAAATTTCGAATAAATTTCCGCATTAATTCTCTGCTAATTAAATACGTTGTATTACGCTTCTCTTATATACGCACTCCGCGATCGGAGAGATGCGCAGTCTATACAAGCGCGGTGTTAAATAATTGCTTTAATTCGATTAGCGGCCGAACGATACGAACGAACGAACGTCGACGAACCAATGAGAGATTAATGAGAATAAATGACCGGGGGAGAAATTGGAGCGGGGACGGAGGGAGGGATCGGAAATCACGGGGGCTACAATCCGTCTGGAATGGAATTGCCATCACAGTGCTGCTCGCGGCGCGGCACCGGAATTCACGACGGAGTTCGCCGACGCACGATGTGCGACGCTAATTAAATTTAACCGCGATTAAATTGTAAATTGTCAGCGGAACCAAATCGACCGATCACGTTTGCCGCTGCGTTAATCTGCCGTTTAACCGGAACGTTGTACGTACACGGAGCCATTTAAACCGACCGATCGATCTTCCTTTTCAGGTCGATCTGCACAACGGCGGCTCCAGCAAGTCCTCCCAGAATATTTCCGGGATATTCATCAAGAATGTTCTGCCGAACAGTCCGGCCGGCAGAACCGGCGGTCTCAAGGTAACGGACGTTTGTCTCGAGACAAATTTTCTTTCTACGCGCGAATCGCGTTATCTCTTCTTCAATTTTTTTTACACACACATCTCGGTCGTTCTTCCTCCCTCGCGTTCGATAAATTTGAACGCGAGGAAAAGAAAAATTTGCGTTTCGATAAATTTGATTTAAGGATTTAAAACGAGATAAATGAACGGAGACAAAAAATAAATCTGTGCACAACTCGCGTCGTTACGTAGTTCAAATAAAAATTGTGACGAACAGCAGTACGGGAGCACGTAGTACGATTGTAAGAAAATTAAATATCGAATCCGACCGATTTCTCATTCGGCAGAGACACGTATATGAACGCACCGAGATTGAATACTCTGTTACGACATATACTACACATGTCGACTGCGCTCTCGCAAACTTAATTTGCCCTCCGGCGTACGTGCATGCTTTCAGATTGGAGATAGAATAATTGAGGTGGACGGTGTGGACCTGCGACACAGCACGCACGAGCGTGCAGTGGAGGTTATTCAAGCCGCCGGAAATCCCGTCTGCCTTGTCGTCCAGTCCTTGGTGCATGTGGTAAGATTTTCGATCTGGAATTTTCTCTCTTTTGATCACACACAGTTGCAGATTAGTTTCATTCAAACTTCCTCGAACTCGTTCTATACACCGCGCGTATTTATCCCCATCGCGCGTACTCGGTATAGTTACCAAGTTTCTATTAAACTTTGTTTTTTTTTCTTTTTTTTTACATTTAAAATTATGCAACATTACCTTTTCTATATTCAAACATATGCAAATAAAAACTTGGTTTTTGCGAACTTCGCGATTACGTTTGCTTTGCGAACGATGACGTGTATACAAAGCGAAACGTCAAGTTTCGCGCGAAAGCTCGTCCGTTCTCCTTAACGAGGTCGCCATTATGAATTCGCGCGCTTTTGAGTTTCGAACCTCCATTTGCAAAGCGCAAAAGTTACCCTCGCAATTAACCGGCGAAACTTCGCCGTATATCTGACAATCGATTCGTCGCCATTCGCCAACCGGACGTCACCGACGTCCGCGTTACATATATATATGTGTATATATATATATATACGGTTCGACGATGCGAGGCGAAATTGAACTCTCGTGTGGTAATGCGACCGAATGGCGACACGGGGCTTTAAACGTTCGCCTCCGAAGTGTCACCGTTAGACGCTGCATTACGCGAAATTGGACGCGATACGTATAGGTACGCGCGACACACGAAGTGCCAACCTGTCACCGCGCATCGAAAGACCTTACATTCGCATACGCGATAACAACATACGCCGACATTTATTTTCTTCCGCGCGCCGTATTGAAAACGTTATCTGAGCAAACACCCTCCGAAAGGTTTACGAGCTCGAGGAGACGACGCGACGTTTCGACCAACAACTCTCTCGCTTCTCCTCAGGGCTTCGGGATATATTCGTAGCTCGGTGACGCGCGCGTCCAAAGTGACCTCACTGTAATGTAAATTTAATGCTGACTGTTGTTTGATCGCGTACATCTTTGTATCACGTTGCGCGCGCGCGCGAGAGAGACAGAAAGAGAGAAAGGTTGAATGCAGACTCTGTCCGATAGACGGACGATAGAAACTTGCTCTCGGTGCTTTGAAGTTCGTGTATATCGCACGTAATCCCGGGACGATCAGGTGTAAACGATTTCTGCTGCAGAAACAACAAAGCACATACGTATTCGGACGTGTATATAGATTACGTCGCGCGTTCCTCGAACAACGAGAGTACCGACGAGGCTTCTCCCTCAAATATCGCTTCTTGCACCATCATCGATCAACCCGACCAATCCGCGTTATTTTCGGCCCGAAGAACATGACCTATTTTTCGATACCTTGAAATTGACTGGAAATGAAGCAGTCGCGAAGCAGCCAAATTTATTTTTCTCTCTCTCTCTCTCTTCCCTCCCTCCCTCTCTCTCCGCGGCTGTTGTTTCGACGTGGGTGTCAAGTGTGACGACACCTGTTTGCTACAGCCGCGGCGGTCGGCCTACAATTGAAACTCTGAAAACGACATAACTTCCTTCCAATTTCAATCGGTCGGCCGCGCAATACGTTCTCCTGTCCCGATGGATGGCAGACTGGCAATGTCGTGACACGTACGCGATCGCGAACGACAACGGAGTCGTTGGGAAGAGAGAGAAAGAGATGAGAAGAGTTAAAAGAGCGAAAGAATAGAACGGAAAGAGAAAGAGAGAAAAGAAGAGGAGGACAAAGGAGGGAACAAGAGACAGTGCGAGGGACAGAGAGAAAGAGAGAGAAAGAGAACCTGGAAAGAGCCATTATCGGCGAACAGCTCTTGTACGCGTACGATGCACCAGGGTCGAACTTTCCAATAAATCTCCCTGATGAGGGACGACGAGGGGGGGAAGCAGTGCGCGGAATACTGCGAAAGAGGGAGACGATGCAGACGATGGAGAGATACGTAAAATCAGGACAGACGCGCGAGATGGGAAGATGATAAAAATGCAAAGACGCGAGACCACAGCTCGGCGAGCGCTATCGACTCGTATCGGAAAACGAAAGCATTCCCTTTAATATTGTATGTTTTATTTTTTTAACTCATAAATATCAAAAACAAGGTAATCTTAAAATAAACAAAATCACTGACGCAATCGTCTGACGCGTCAATAATATTTTAAAAACATTTATTGACATTTATACTGTTGCAATTTGAAAACATTGTTTTCGAAAATGCGTGGGAATAAATATCAGCAAGTAAAGGTCGATCTGGTCAGGGGGAGAGAGAGAGAGAGTCGGAGGGGGTTGATGCGGTTCACCGGAAAGAATGGTTTCACGTTGCGACCGAGCGCGCTCGTCATCGACACCATGGACCACATCGGGAACGAAGCCCACCACTACGGCCCCGGCATATACGAACTGCGCCATCCTCTTCTCTCTCCGCCCCCGTCATCGGGTACTCCCTTTTCGCGCACGAAACCGTTCGGCCGACGGCGGTCGGATCACCTGTGAATGTCATCATCACTCCCAGTGTTCAGTTGTCACCAAGCGTCGCGATGCACCGATTCTTCGGACGCAAATGCGTCACCTTTCACGTACGTGATTATCGCCGAGAGGCATCGACGGGGCGCGTACTCTTCCTCCTCCTCCTCCTCTTCCCTCATCCCCGGTGTTCGATATTCGAAAGCGCGCGCGGATGCATCTTAACTCTCGTCAAGCGCGCGGTGAGAGGCATGTCGACGCGTTCGTTGACAGACGTGTGTTTACCTACCGTGTTGTAAAGTGGGATTACTTTGGTTTGTGCGGGATCGCACACACTGATCGCCAATATCGGCGGCCGTATTGTCGGAAAGCTCACGTGTCGAGAGAGAATATTGATCCGCGTTAAAACAATAGAAGACAAATTACGGAGATAAATTTATTAATTGTACCTATTTGTCATCTCGCGGTGTGTGAGATGTAAATGAGAAAAACAATGTGATCTGAAAAAAAAAACCGAATGAACAAAAATTCTCGGGACGAGAGAGTTAAAACTGTGCGCGGAAAAAAAAGATTTGCCGTAGAGAGTAGAAAGAAGAATCGCAGGCCGGCGAGAAAAATTTGCTAAGACTGTGTTGAAGTTTTTGTTTTGCCAACAAAATTATTTTGTCGATGATGAAACAAAAACCTCATTAGACTCGGCGAATGTTTCGTGCTGATCGTACAATAGCAAAACTTTGTTCCGTGCGATTCTCGAAAAAAAAAAAAAAAAAAAATCGCAACTCGCTCGAAATATATTTCGAGGTCCTACTTACCACGTTTTTATCGAAACTAACGCAAGAGAGAAACAAGGAAGAGAACGCATCGCGAGAATTCGCGAGAATGCGCTAGCACGGTCTGTTTTACGCGTTTTACGAGAAGTAAACCCCCTTCTATTGCAGTTGCTTTGGCAACAATTCAAGAGCACACGAGCAAATATTTTCCTAGTACTAACTCATTTCGCGACTGGGTTTATCCAGAGACGCAGTCTCTTTCTCTTTCTCTCTCTCTGCGCAGTTTACTCCGTCGCTGAAATAAGTACAGGCGAAACAATTCCGCAGAAACCATCCGCATCATCTAGTTTCGTCTTCCGTTTCGGCTTCCTTCCTACGTCGGCATCTGCTCCCTGTGTCTTTTTATGCCACCGAAAGAGTCACTTCAGCTTCTCTTCTCTTTTATTTCAATCGTGCCGCGTGTGTGTCTCTTCTCGCTGACTCGTCGGTCTTGGAATGTGCTCGTAAACCGCTTAATGTCACTTCGCCTCTGTTCTGGACAGTATATGTGAGTGTGCATACGCGCGTGCGCGTGTGTACGTATGCGCGTGTTCTACTTTGAAATTAAAATTCTATAAAAAAAAAAAAATCTCCGCCTCCATTAGAAGTGCAATTCGATATAAACGTCGGGGTAATTTTACATCGCGTTTTAAATTACTCGATCGAGTTAAAATAATGACATTTCGTTTTTTTTTTTTTTTTTTTCGAGAAGCGCCGCCGAATGTTTCGTTAAAATTTTTGCGGATATTGCGAACGTGCGCACGTATGCGCTTTCGATGCGTATCAGATATGCGAAATCTTTTTTTACGGTAACAAGTACGAGAAGAGAAATAAATTGGAGATGAATTTAAGCTGTCTGGAGGGGGCGCTATCCGAGAGATTTTTCGAGAAGCAGAGGAGACGAGAGAGCACTGGAAAATTTGTTATTGCAGAGCCCGGAGCACGGCGGCAGCGCGTTCCAAGAGGAAAGAGACACCAAAGGTCGGAAACAGGCTGTCAAGAGTCATACGTCGTCGTCTTCTTCCGGCCTCAGCCCCGGCACGCCGACTGCCTCCTTTCGTCGCAAACCGTCGCCGGTTTCGCCAGCGAGGTCCATCACACCAGAAGTGATACAGGTCAGGTTTGGTACATGTTTAACTTTCAGTCAAACAATTGTCTCTTCGTTGTTTTTGTTTGAATTTTTTTTAGCAATTCGCATCCTAATATACAGACTCACTACTTGCTCATTCCGGTTGTTCCCCGGAGAAAGAAATACGATTTGCGCGGCGCAATTTGTATGTTCAATTGCCGCTCTAATTAGCAAATGGGGGGGAAAAAATATGACGCGCTCGCTCGTGAGGCGCGAGCGATAATTAATTTCTTTAATTGAATCGCCGCGGACTTTGCAATTTTCGCGCGCGATGGCAAAATGTATGTTTAATTAAATATACGCAGGGAGATACAGTGATAATTACATTTATTGCACGGCGTGGGTAATTAAGTTACCTATACACACGCACACACAGTTTGCCACAAACGTTTGTTGTTCCAGACAAACTATTATACCTCCTTTATTGCGGTATTGTAATTGTTCATTGAGTAAATTCTCAATCGTGGCAAGTTTATTTCGAGAATAACGCGTCGATAATTTAAATTTTCTTATATATGTTTTATTTGTAAATATTTTACATTTCTTATATATTTTTGTTAAAGCAAAAAGCATACGTGGACTACTCGTCGCGGTCATGTTGATAATTATGTCAAAAGAAATGTTTGCGCATGAAGAATTTTCTGTAAATTTTTCGGCCGCAATTTGCATTGGAATAAACTACGGTTTTTTTTTTTTTTTTTTTTTTTACATACCGTCGATATCCGACAGCACGAATTGGCAAAATTCGCCGATTTATTTTGCGGCAATAAATGCGCATATAATTCAATCTATATATTTTTTCAACGAAAATAGACACTTTTATCAAAATTTATGAATATTCATATTTCAACACATATGTGCGCACATCGAAAAGAAAATTTTCGGCGAAAATTGATGGCCAATTTGAACTTTTTGCGGCTTGTGCTACAGAGACCGCAGTTTATTTTTCACGTTACATTTTACGTGCGAAAAATTTGACATAATTATCTCGCCTCTGTCGTAATCCAATATATGACCGAAACGAATGAATAACTTAAGAAGAGAGAAACTTACGTGATATTACATTTCACGTCCTTTCGTTTGAAAATTCAAGTCATTTTACTTGTTGTGTAGCCAGGATTCGGGGACGTTCGGGAAAGCTACCCACGTGGAGAATCTCAGAGACAGAGTGCAGATGGATCAGCTTCCAACGCGCGAAGGTTTGTGTCGTCTTTCGTTTTTCTCAGAAAACTCCTCCTTCTTCTTCTTGATAACCCGCGCGCGGCAAAAGTCGCTTATATTAAATTCCATGTTAAAATAAAAAGTCAGAATATTGCTGCCGTCTTAACCGAATTGAAATTCTGCAATGTTGCAACTTTAATAACACCAGCCTTAGAGTTATTTTTATCGGTTCTCTCGAATTTATTGATCTCTCTCACTTCTCACACACGTGCATTCCATGAAGAACCAATGAGATTACTTCGGCTTTTTTTTTCTTTTTTTTTTCTTTTTCATCGTTTTTTCAGATCCTCCATGAAGAAGTCAATTCGCAAGACGGCTCCGTCGCCGCCCGTGAACCCTCCGGGTATTCTTCGCGAGGTGAGCGAGGAACGAGAGGATCGCGCGGCGAAATCCGATGAGAAACCCAAGTACCACAGCGAGAGCTCGAGCGATGACGAGGAGGACACCCGCATGCTGGAGGGAAATGTCTACACGAAGGGCGGCATCGAGGTAATAAAAAAAAAAAAAAAACGTATCCGACGTCGTCGATAAATCTCGATTTATAAAGATATAACACGCGCGTTAACCTAACACCCGACATGCTTAGATTTCGAGAAAGAGCGCTGGAAACGTGAGACGGACGAAGGAGGAAATTGAAGCTGATCCGGAAGAAGAGGACGAGTACGGATATACTGCCAGTGAGTAGATTGTTTTCTTGTATTGACTGTAAACCGCGGCGCGATGTCATTCTTGCCAAAGCTGTTCTTTTGCGAAAAGACGTATTTCTTTTGGCCAGAGGGATATTATTTTTGTTCTCTTTAAATTTCATAGGGCGGTAAAAACGGGGTTGTTTCTACATACACACAGAAAAAACAATGGAGTTGCTTCAATTAAAGTTGATGTCACGGGCTGCCACAAAAATAAATAGTTCATTCAATTGCATATGCGATTAATTTAACGTCTAGATTCTTAAAGCAACTATCTGCTGTGTATAGTGCAATAATATTGATGTTGCATCAACAGAATATATTTCAATTAAACTGATACTGTTGATTCAACATCTTTTTTTTTTCCGTGTACGAGATGCAAAACGTAAGCGTTTGATTTTTGAATTGAATTCTATTCGAATTACCACGTGTGTAATTAATTTACACCTTAAGGAAAATTATATTTCGCGCGTACATTTGGCTTTTACTGGCGTTATCATTTTTTTTCGAATAGTTGAAGAGAATCCTTGTACATTGCAACATATATATTGCCTAAGAATATTAAAAAAAATTAAAATTAAAAACTTATTAATTTCTGTTTTAATTAATATTTATATTATATATTATTTTTACATTGGTTTTTTGCATCTCGTAATTGCGAAATAACTGCGTTTTTTTTCGACACGAATTTGATTCTCCAAATAACATCTCTCGGACCGGATCTCCGTCGGGCTGTGAATGCGATTTTAATTTGCAGTGAAGATACAGAAAAGATATCACAATCTCGGACACAAAGTGCTGATGGTGGTTCTCGAAAAGGACAGATCGGGACTGGGCATTTCTCTGGCGGGGCATAAGGATCGAAACCGAATGGCCGTGTTTATCTGCGGCCTGAATCCGAAGGGTGTAGCGTACAAGAACGGCAAGCTTGCTATCGGCGACGAGATATTGGAAGTATGTCTATGCTCTCCTTCCCGTTTTTACGACTTTAACGTTTATACGACACTTTGGCTCTCTCTCTCTCTCTCTCTCTTGTCATGTACACACACGACCGTTACCCGCGTCGTGTTGTTTAACCTTCGATTCGCACGTTGTATAATCTATTTAACTTGTTTGTCGCGACGTTATTACACAAGAACGCGCTGACCTTTTTTTTAGAGAAAAAAAAGATTTTTACACAGTTAAAAAAATACAATTCGTATGTTGATAGAACAATGTGGTAATTAACAGCGTTGTCTTTACGCAATGTAGAAAAATGTAGCCAGCAACATTTTATCAATAACAAAAACAGAGAGAGAGAGAATTAAAAAAATTGCAAAACTTCTCGCAGTTTTGTCCCGAGCTTGCTGGAAAAGTCGATAAGATCGACGGGAATAAAAAATTCTATTTTTTTCCGTTTAGATAAACGGCTCTATGCTGCAAGGACGATGTCACTTAAACGCCTCCGCTCTAATCAAAGGCATGGCCGGCACTTGCTTCAAGATCATTGTTTATCGGTGAGACACCCGGTGCTTTATTCTACGTAACACACGTTACGCGCGTGACGTCGCGCGCGGCACGTATATAAGAAAATTCATTAATACTCTAAACGGATTTCGCTTGTCCCGATTGCAGGAGATCGAAGGCTGTCGATGACATTGCTGTAAAGCCGATAGTTCAATTTCCACCGACCTTGGATGACGTAAGTCACTTTGCGGAATCGATCTTTTATATATTTGTTTCGTCCCGAGAATAATCGCGAGAGAGTCGAGTTTTCTTTATTGAAATGCTGCGAATCATTGGAAAACAATTAACATGCATTTAATCGATTGCGTCCCGCAATTTAATATCAGCTGCACGAGCTTTGCATAATTATTTCATAATAAATGTGATAGATGACATAAATAATAACACATAATATACGAGTATTTTTGGAGGTTTTTTTTTTTTTTAACGTCGTTATCACAATTGCACGCGAAACCTGCAATTGCGTGATAGAAAAAGCGCACGTATCGCTTTTGTAGTGACAAATAACACGGTACTCGCGTTTCAGGTTTTCAAAGAAGCTTTCAGCAAGTACAAGGGAGTCCGCGAGGTGCAAGTGAAAAAGGCAAGTTGCCCGTCCGTAATTACATTTGTTACGACTTTTGTTCACTTATTGTCTATATAAATTCTTTATTTCACGTGTTACATATTTTTCATATAAATTCTATTTTTGTAATTATTTTTCTTCTAATTTTTTTCTATTATAATTTTTCGATCGTAGTCTCAATACGGCCTGGGGATAATGATTATCGAGGGAAAGCACTTGGCCGTGGGACAAGGTATCTTTGTGTCTGACATTCAGGAGGGCAGTGCCGCCGAACAGGTAACGTTCGCTTGAATTTACACGTTGCCGTTTTGAGAGTGAATTCAGTAAGCGAATTCTTTGCATCATGGCGAACAATATTTGCAGGCTGGATTGCAAATAGGAGACATGATCCTGGCCGTAAACCTGGATAGCTTACTAGGCCGTACGTACGATGAGGTACGTATTTGTTTTTTTTTTTTTTTTTCACATTTGTGGAAAATAACTCAAAGTCAAAACATTTCGATACATTTACACATTTGAATTTTATCTGTTATCCCACGAGGGGTAAAAAACAATGTGGGAAAAATCGGCTGACCGGGATTTCGAACTCGAATCTTTTTTTTTTTTTTTGCCGTCTGGACAAGTGCTCTTAAACCAGCATTTAAGCTATCCGGACCCTGTATTTTTCCCCTCAGATAACATTTAAGCCACCCACACGGAACAGTACTCTTTACAAATCTCCATTAGATGTTCATTAGAACGTTCATTCACGTCTAATGGATGTTATGTCTATGCGTTGGCAGTTCCTACGCAGATATGGCTCATTGGCGCTGCATGTGATTCGTGTGCGAACGAGCAAGCGGCGCTGGCAGCGATATATAATATTTGTATTTGTATTTTTATATGTATGAAACTAATCTCATTAGTATAAGCTGGTTTTTTCCAATAGAGTATGTAGAAAAATTATTTAAAAAATAATGATACAGTGTCAGACATTTCTTATCATCACTATCAGAACGTCGGATTACTTTTCATCAAACACTGAAGTTATAGCTAAGAGAGAACTTTTTCGGTCTCTCTCTTTGATTACATTCGGTTACACTCTCGTGCGGGATTGTAGAATGTAATAAAGGACCTACAATTTTAGGTGGAGACTCCGAACCACCGAAAGTGTACATAAACACTTCAAATTTAGAGAAATCTCGTGACGGAGATACATCTCGGCGAGCTACTCAGCTCGTTAGAGAAAGAGCGACCTGTAAAAAATCCGAACACATTTTTGTTCCGGATTCGAACCTGTGATCTTTGGGTTACTGGTCCCGCACAAACCAACTGAGCTGTAGGCCGCTCCGTACAACACACTCTGTTTTTCGAGTTAATTTCACGTGTTTACACATTCACATTGAATTGAATCGTTAAGAACTCGAGGACACTTCTCACAACAATATATCTTCCATGAAAATAACTTTGTTGTTGAGAAAAAAAAAAAATTATATTTAAAATTATTTAAAATTATTTAATCAAATTATTTAAACGTTCATTCATTTGATTTCTTTCAGGCGACGGAGTTGTTGAAGAAAGCGGAGGGCGTCGTCAAGCTTACGGTGTGCAATCCCAACGAAAACAGAACGGAGGAACAGGCGAAAGGAGGAAAGGACGAGAAAGCCGTTTCTCCGGCGCCAAAACGTGAGCGTGAATTAAAAACGTGATTAATAAACTCGAGGGTTTTGAAAAATTTTAAAACATCATACGCGTGTATAAAAAATTGAAAATTGTGTTTATTAAATTGTTATTTTATGTGTGTGTGTGTCAGCAAAAGAACCCGAGAAGCCTAAGGAGCAACTGGATCCGAAGACTTGCAGTATACCAGTCGGTCAAGAAGTGACGATAGAGTTTCAGAGGGAGAAGAACCAAATTATGGGTATTTACATCGTTGGTGGTACTGACACGCCTTCGGTGAGCATCGTCGATATTTCAAAATTGCCTTTTTTTTATTTATTTATTTATTTATTTTGCGTGAAATACGTGACTTTGCATATACATTAATATGTAAATTTTTAAATTGCAAACAAAAGGGCACATTCGCGTAAATAAAACAATGCGATAAAATGTTTCGGTTTGTGTGAAAAAGTGTGACAGATATTGGACGCGAATTGATTTAAAGTTCAACGGAATTCGATATATTAATTACATATTGATAACAGATAGGCGATTAAAAACAGATATATCGACGTGCAAGAACAAAAAAAAAAACAACAATAACGCTTGTTTCAGAACGGCGTGTTCGTTTTGGATTTATTCCCCGATGGCGCGGCCATGAAGGACGGCCGGTTGCAGCTCGGCGATCAGATACTCAGCATAAACAGCGTGATGTTCAAGGAGATGGAATACATTAAAGCTCGCGAAACGATTCTGAAGCAACCCGCCGGACCTGTACGTGTGTAATAATATTTTATTTTATTTTTTTTTTTTTTTTTGGTTGCTACATTGAAAGAAAAAGAAAATGACACGTGCGATTGTTCGCGATATTCATTTTTACATCAGCGGACACAGTTTCGTGTCCCGATATTTTCTCAACGAGTTCTCATTCGGTTGACCGAGCAAGCGTGACGCTCCGCCAATGTTGGTTTGTTGATTTACAGATCATAATGTCGGTGTTGCGCCATGAGAAACCGGCCGAGGAATACGAGGTCGAGATACAGAAAAAGAGCGGCAGAGGAGCCGGTATTTGTTTCGCCGCGTTCAGAAGCGGCAAAGGAGCCTACGTGAGCGAGTTGGTGAGTGTTTTATTTTATTTTATTTTATTTTATTTTTTTGTTTTACTTTGAAGTCTAACCGATGAGAAGAACCGACTCGGTCTTACCACGCTTCACCGATTTCGATTTCTACAGACGCCAGGCGGACCGGCCATCGAAACCGGTAAGATACTCAGAGGCGATCATCTTCTAGCGATCAGCGGATTGGACGTTCGCGAGGTTTCCTTGGACGACATCGCTTTTCACATGAAAATATCCAATCCGTTGCAACTGAAGCTGGCTAGGTACAAGTCCGCCAAACAATGACAGGTACAATTCGACTGAGCAACTACGTTTTTTACTTATCGAAAAATAAAAATATAGATAGAAAACTATAATTTCAATGTTTCAAAAAGAGTGAAAACGCATTGAGATTTCTCCGCTTTCGGATCATTTGTTCTACGCATTCTTTCGATATTTAATATTACGCATATGTGTGTCAAAAAAAAAAAAAAAGGCTTGGAATTTGCCACGGAAATAGCGCGAGTAGAAGAGATCGTTTTCTATCTACAACTTATCTTCGTACAAATATTTTATAATTAATTAATATTTATTACATATTAATTATCTTATATTAATTTTCAAGCGCATTTGCGAGTTTGCGAACTCTTTGTTTTTCTTTTCAGGGTTCTGCGGGCGGAACTCACAACGCGTATTCCGATGTACGAAGAAACACTTACAGACATCACGGATTCTAGTGTGATACATAGGGCAAAATAATGTCTTAATAATCCTTAAGTACCTTGTTACGAGAGCAGCGCGTGAAAAATCCGCGCGACTCGATCTAACAGTTATTACACGCCAGCGTCGCCAATCGATCTTGCCGTTCGAAACTCGCGTGCGCGAGAAAAGCACGAGGCGACGGTGAAAGAGCGAGATGGGAGTAATAGAGAGCTGGATTATACAAAGCGCGCGCGATAAAATACTCGCAGCGGTATATCAATTTGATCGAAAAAACCGGATGGACGAAAAAGAAGAAAAACGAGAAGAAGAAGAAGAAGAAGATAGGAAAAGCATTTCGTAGACAATTTAGAGGAAAAAAAAACCTAAAATCGTTGCCGATTGCTAGGGAGGTGTAGATGATTGAGCTTTCGTCAATAGGAATGTTTTTCGACGCGAATCGATCGGTCGTCGATCGAAAAACTGCGTGTAAAACGATTCCGTCTGCCGATATTCGCTCTCGTGCAAACTAGCAGGGATTACACACACACACACATACACACTCACACACACAGCGTCTCTTAAACACACGTGCGTATTACTGTAATTACATACTTAGCGATACGGTAATACGTTTAATTACCGTCTAATAATAACGACGAACGTAGAAAAAGAAAATCGATAATAAATCGGCGAATTATCGGCACGATCGAGAAGGAAGAGATCGCAGATCGATTCGCTTCTCTCGGTCTCGCTAAAAAAAAAAACAATTAATTAATACACTTGCTTGTTACGTTTTTTCGTACCACCACGTTAATAGGAGGCAAAGCAATTATTGTAGAAACCGACCGTAGCACGCGTTTTTCTTCGATTCTGTGAAAAGAAAAGCTCTTTTTTCACGATATAAAGACTCTAGTCCCGCCCGAGATCGGCGTTTCGATGTTTTCTCGCCTTAATTATCGCTTTCTCGCTCGCACCGCGACCGCTCTCGCTGAGACACACCTACACACACATACACACACGCATACGTAACATATTAATATTATAGTCTTATAATGTATTTTTCAATATTAATAAAAAGCACCAGGAAGGGAGGAAGAGAGGGGAAAAAAAAACGATGTGCGAGCTGTATCAAAAACTACACACACTGCACATACACATATAAACACGCACGTACACATCGAGAGTGTACAGTACAATACTACGATAAAAAAAAATATATCGGTAAGTAAAATTTTGTAACTCGTAGCTCTTAACTTTATTATAATAATAAATCACAACAACCGAATATAATTATATATAATATCGACATAAACTATTAAGATTGCTCTAAAACACACACACACACACACTGCTAAACAGTTATAGGATATATTTACACGCAACTGGCAAATAAAACTCGCGCGCAGATATCGTTCGAGGCACAGCTCGTTCATCGACGTACTTATCAAAAACGAAAAAAAAAAAAAAAGAGTATTGTAGCATAACCGCCTAAAAAGATCGTTATAGTGATAAGAAGAAGAAGCTACGTATATAGATTCTTCGCGTGTAGCCCGACGAAATATTATTATTACACACGAGGAGCGGTCGCGTCGAACGTCGCGAAATGCCGATCGAGTGATCATCATTTGATAGCGATTTAAGTGCTTGAAGAATACATACGCGCTCGAAATCATAGTCCGCGCTGTCGCAAATAATTTATGAAAGAGAGAGATGCTCCCAAACCATCAGTTCGAGAGTGTTAAAAAAAAAAAAAGAAAAACAATTTCTTCATGCTCTGACGATCAACACGGTACGGGGTGTCGGCTAAAGCTAGGTTTTTGTTGAAAGAGAGAGAGAGAGAGAGAGAGAGGGAGAGAAAGAGAGAGAAAATACAGACGTTCATATACAATTGAATAAATTAAATCGTAAAGCTAGTCCACATAGTGCGCAGTTTTAGAGATTTTCAGAGAGACAGAAGAAAAGTCACAAATATAGAGAGAAAAGTTATATATATAAATAAAATGAGTATATAAATAAAATATATATATAAAGATATATATATATATAGAGAGAGAGATATATATAAAATAAACAGAGTATAAACACACGATATAGAAGTCATTTATTTCGCGAGTCGTTATTTCTCTTCGTCGCGTGAACGACGGGCACGTTCTTCGTCGAACGTTTTTTGCATATATGGAATTTCGCATAGTTTATTTCGTAGATCGAGACGCCGCGTCGATCGTGTTTCGCAAAAATATAAAACAAAAAACCAAAAAAAAAAAAAAAAAAATATATACCGTTGTCACTGAAGAAACATTGTTTTTGACACGAGTGTGTGACACGGTCGTTTATTATTATAGCGTATGACATATAGTATATTGTAACGAGTTGTATAGGAGACTGTATTGATTGTGTCGTATGATGTGTTATTATATATTACGCGTATTTAAAAAAAAAAAAAAAGTCTGAATTTTTTCAGGAACACAACAAAAAGCGGAAAGTAGTGCAAAGGAGCGAGTGTAATAACAAGAGCGCGGCGAGCGTGTTGAGAAAGCAACGCGTTTGCACGTTTGACGGCAAAATTACCGCGAAAATCGCAGAGACTCGTTTCTTGTTCCCTTCCCTCTCCTTCAACGTCGTTGAATTTGAAGTTGCGTCTCGATCGTTACTTCGAAACGTTTCGTATCGAATTGCTGATAGAGCAGAAACTCGATATCGCTGCCTCGCGGGCATAGGATTACATTGCAAGGGGGAAACTCTCTCGCTGGCAGCGAGACTGGGATCAGGGGAGGGAGGGGGAACGCATTGACATGTTGGAATACGATCTTCTTCCCACACGTGCGGGATGGAAATTAATGGAATCGGCCAAAAACGGATTTATTTTGTTTAATTCGAAACACTTTCGAGTGCGCGTATTTGCAATTCGCACGTTGTCATCTCTCGCGAGACTACCATAAATTTCTATTATCGAGACGCACTTTCAAAGTCGAAGACGGCACGGAGGAAACGGATTGCGTGCGGATGACGACTAGATATCTCTCTTTTTCGGATTACTTCGTAGTTACGTTTCAGTTTCGCATAAAAATGCGTGTTGTACGATTATATTGATAGTGTTATTGCGTGCGCGAGGGTTGCGATTGTAAAATGGCTCGAGGGCAAAGCAGATCGTTTACGATCGTGATCGAACGGGGACCTAAAAGTGAGAATGGGAAAATGGATGGAGGATAACGCGAGACGCGTCATCGTGTTCTTACCTCACCACGGTTAATAAATTTATTTATCGATCAAATTTGCGAGCAAATGTTCCGACGCCACTTTACAACCAAACGGCTCGCGATTATTGTCCTGATTATTGTTATCATGATTATATACATTATTACACGTCGCAGTCGAGAGACGTCATGATCATCGTAGCGTGGCACTATAATATATTGAGAGTAAAGACAAAACGCTGATTATTATAGAACGAGAATAAACTGAACCTCGAGATCTATTAAAAGCATCAAGTGCAACGTTGTAGTAAATACTGACGTTTTGTTGTTGTTGTTGTTATTATTATTATTATTATTATTGCGCAAACAATCTCTTTTCGCGCAACTTTGAACTCTCAGATACTTATCTTGCTTTCGGTCGACGATTCAACACAGGGTAAGTATAAATGTTTGATTACAAGACTTTGTAAAATATTTCACATTGTTACGTTTTTCTCTGATTTATTTATTTTAACGGAAATGAATTTTCTCTAGATCTTCAAAACTGAGAAGCGAATATTTCGAGACGAGATGTCGTAGTTTTAAAAAGTAAAAATTGAAACTGAAGTAAGCAACATTAAGAATCGTGTTTTTTTTTATAATAAACTCGTAACGTTTTATTTTCAGATATTTATTTTCTCGCAGCACTTATTTTTCTTCGCTGCAAATATTTTTCTTCCACTTGTCCGACGTGTATTCGAAGGCAACCTAAGATATACATTTTCAGACGCGGATATTTCCATCCAATATCGACGGAAATTTCGTTTCGATGCCACACACACACACACACACACACACCGGGAGAACAATCAAGATGTCGAATATAAACGAAAATATTCGCTTCGGAATACACTTTACTTTCGTGCATATCGCGAATTCAATTCTCGATTCGAGATCGATCCGCGACGAGGAGGAAGAAAAAAACACACGTCGCCGACGCGTTTTCGCGCGACGCGAAATCTCACGCACGTGCCATTACGCGCGTTTTTTTTTCGATTAATTAATCGCGCGTCTTGTGCGCGCGCTCGTAACCCACTTCCGTCGCCGATAAACGATTTCTTTGGTCCACTTAGAAAGGCGCTCACAAAATAAAAAGGAAACGACGCGCGCGACGAGAAATAGGCCTTGTCGCGTGCGCGCGCGCCGTTGTCGGTCGCGTGACGTCACTCGCTCGACCGCATCAAGCGCATAAGTAATTAATATTAACGCGGAGACCGCACAGAGGCGTGTAATCGCGTGTTGGTTAACTACCGAATCCTCATTGTCTTCGCGTGAGACGGTTTTCGCTTACGCGCCGCGCCGTTGAAAGCAAACCGGCGAACCAAACAAGCGAACGGCGATTTCGCGGTTTATCGTCGATAACGCGCGAAAGTTATTTGTGTTCTTAATGTTTTTAATTACGAGCGTGTTTGAAAGTTGTGTAATTTTTGCTTAATTCGCGCGAGAGGGGAATTAATCGAGCGGCAACGCTACAACGGGAAAAATGACGAGGGGAAAAAAAAAAAAAAAATCGCAACCGACATCTTTCCCGGGAGAAATGGAGCGACGCGAACTCGCTTCTTCTTTCGTGAAGCGTAAACCAACATCGCGAGCGCGAAAACAAAAGAAGAGGAACGCGCTTCGGAAATCGAACTTGACCCTGAAAGTCTCGCCGGTTCAAGTCTCTCTCTTCGACTTCGAATCGGAGAACGTTCAAGGAGAAAGGCAGAAGATCCGCGTGAGAATAATGTATTCAATGTCTCGTTAATGTCAATTTGTCTTGTACGTTGTGTACAGTCATCGGACAGGACGAAACGTTCAGCTCTTACTTGACACGATTTATGCAAATAAATTCCGGCAACAGAGTTAACTCGAAACTCGGTGGCGTAGAGCGTGTGCATTTCCGCTTTTCACTCCGCTTACAAGAGCAATTTTCTTGTTCTTCGCGAAGTGTGCGTGTTTGTGTGTGTCTTCAAATCGTAAAGATTCGTGAGGAGATAAAAATTAAAAACTCTTTACCCAAATTCTTCATTTGCTTTAATTTATTTACTGGTTTATCTTTCACCTGGCATATTTTTTATACAATGTGTAATTCCAATTGCGCTTAAACGGCTTTAATTAGGCAATATATTTCTCTTCGTTAAAGTACTTTGTTATCTTTCTCTCAACCAACTCTATCGAGAAGCTCTCGTTGAGTTATGATGTATATTTTAATTACACACAGCTAAACTCGCGCGAGGGTCTGACTGACGACTCGCTCTTGCGAGTCGATCTTGTCGGATAAACTTCGCGGAAGCCAAGTTTTTAAGCGCCGTTACGGCGCGAGTTCGTTTCCATTCGGAGAGAGATTCAAGTTTGCACAAAATTGCAGCGCAAAATACGCTGCAATTACGTTCCCTTCCCCTCGCGAGATCGATCGACAAAACAAATCAGCGCGACATCAAATCGGGGGGGGGGGGGGATATGACTCGAACGCGGCAAACGGAAATCGTCGATTTGCGACACGCCGTTTACGCAAATACCGAGTATACCAATCACAGCGAACCGATGTTTAATTATGTTTGCGCCGTAACTGCGCACTTTGCCCGCACGGTGTAATGACGATTAGCGGGATCGGTTAACCGTGAGCAACGGTCCGTGGAATACAACCCGCGGGGGAGCTGGTTTTTGCTTTCCGCAAAACTCCCCGTTTCGCGCGGGAGAGAACCGGTCGTTCCCGTGCCGGAAACGAAAATGAACGTGTTTTTGAACCGGATAATTTATGCGCGCGCGGAATCGCGTATTACGCGCCGCGCGTGTATTTCCACGTTGCTCGCTCGAAATTGGGTGCGAGCGACGATAAACTTCTGAACGAAATTAGATGAGAGACAGATATCTGCGATGTTAAATTCACGGATCGGTTAACTCGAGCAAGTAAAATAAATGCGCGAATTGCTCGTAGGAGCGGACGCTCCTTTTCCGCGAGAAGAGAGACGATAATCCGTATATAATTTTTTCCCCTGTGCAAATTTTAAATAATGCGTATGTTAACATTATTGCGTGTAACGACGGAAAAGAGGATGGGAAAATTGCGAGAACCGTATCACGAACAATTTTATATCAATTGAGGAGCTCACGTGAAAATGAATACGCCGGAAATAAAAATAGCGGAGAAAGCTAAGGTCTGAATTATATATTTTTTTTTTTTTATGCAAAAGAGAAATATGTTTCCTTTATACGCGTTCTCCTTACATATGTAAGATGAGTTTACAATGCGCTTTCTATAATCAAGGGAAAAAAATACAACTGGAAACCAGACGTTCCAGACGCGTAGTTATAAAACAATTGCCGCTTCTCAAGTTCTGTTTTGTTGTGGGTATAAAAAAGAAATGATCCTTCGGAAAGTAGGGGAAGGTCACACTGGCGACGTAAAAAAAAAAAAAAAAATAACATTGATATGCATCAACGTTCTCGCCCGAGGAGAGAGAACCGTGATACAATTACATCTTCTGGCGGCGAACACCTGCGGCGGAGAGCAAAAAGGCAAGAGTTACAACATTCGGCGGCGCCACACGGACAAGTTTTGCGAGTCGAACGTAACGACGTGGACTACTTCCACTCGAAGGTGCGCATTCCGAAAACTTTCTTAAAGCAATTATGTCATAACGCACTCACCACCCCGCGCACGTCCCTCTTTTCCCCGTTCCGATCCCTTCCTTTCTCTCATCACACATCGTCTTCTCTCCGCGACACAGATGCGACGTCGTTGCGACCGCTTCGATCGAGATTTTCGAATAATTTCACGCTAATGACGCGCGCCTAAAAAAAGTGGGATTTGTTGTAACGCGATGCTCGCACGACGCGCAAAGAGTCGCGTCGTTAGTTTTTGCCTCATTATTTTACTTTTCGCATCTGAAATTACACACGAGCGTTGAATCCTACGTGAAAACACGTCGCAAAGGCGTTGGATATAGAGAAACGCGAAAGTCCAACGCATCTCGATCGTTGCCACATCGCGTTTCGCGCACGAATAACAACGAGCCTATTATTTCTCCGAAATTTTTTCGAGGGCCGCGCTAATTATTCCGCCGTTGCGCAAACGCGCGCCAATAACACAGACGGCGCTGTATAACAATGCGAGACGGAAGATGCGAACGTAAAAGAATTGGAACGTACGTGTGTACATGATCTTCTCGCGCATGTGCGATCTCCTCAGCTATCTTCTTCCCGTGCCCCACTATCTTCTCGCAACTCTCGCAATTAAGCGGTTTTACGATCGACTGAAGAGTCTCTTTTCCCCTATACGACTTTCCGAGGCTGGATATCAGCGTGGTCTGTCGAGCACCTCACTCGCACGCTGATTTACACCGATTATCTTGTCACATTCGAGCGATTCGTCGGAGAATCGAACTTTCGCAATGATGTATCCGGCTCGGTTTTTTTTGTTTTGTTTTTTTTTTTTTCGAAACATGCCGCACAACGTATTTATTTCTCTCCGCGACATATTTTCTACTTCAATTTACTTTCTCACTTTCTTTCTTTTCGAAATGAAATTTTTTCCATCGCTTTAATAAAAAAAATAAAAAAAAAAGCAAAATGAAGAAAAGTTAGCGCACGCTCTTCCTATTGCAAATTAAATAAATTCGAATAAAATTTTAATTCAACAAATTTGATACCCTATTTCGTTGGAAAATTCAACGGGGGTTGTGAGATCCGAAGTCGAGCAAGTCACGCGGCAGTCACACACGTTGTGAAACGGTAAAAGGGCAAATTAACTGTGACCGTTAATTTTCCAGTTAGCTCGCTGAAAGCGCGTAATATTCAATGTCTGTTCCGTTTTGCTGGCATTACGTAAAATAACTGTATTTAGCGTAACATGTTCGAATAACATCGCCGCGCAAAGTGGCATAAGAACCGCAGTTTTGGTTTCGTACCGTCGACTTTAATTTGTAAAACTCGCAAAAGTGTGCGGCGCGTTTAATATAAGTAATAATAAACTTGCTACGTCGCAAAAAAAATGTATAGAATATACGAGAAGATGACGTTTGTAATTTGAAGGATCGTTTTTTCATATATCGCATTATTCCTCGTGATGATCCCTCGTGATCAATTTAAAAGTTGTTTCAAGGTTGAGTGAAGTGAAAAGGAGAATTGTGAGAAACTCTTACTCAACAAATGATAATTAACGCGATTTAATAAACCGTGATTCATTATTTGTTCCGAAATCGAAAATGTTGCTTTCACCTAATATCCTTTTATTACGCCGAGAGAAACTGCAAAAACTCTGCGACAGAGCGAGCGAATCCGTCGAAAAGAAAATTCCACCGTTCTCGCATAAATGCAGAGTACACCGCGGAGAATTCATTAATAAACCTCCGACTTAACGAGAAACACAAACGCGCAGTTCGTTTGAGAGAGAGAGAGAGAGAGAGAGAGAGAGAGAGAGAGAGAGAGAGAGAAAATTCGCAAACGGAACAAACACGCCAGCTCGATGTTGTACATTCGCAGTCACTCCGAAGTGCAAGTATCTGAAATTTAGGTTGTAGTTCCGCGTGATGCGCGCGCTCGCAGACGGCGAGATCGCGTTTCCCGCGTGCGGCTTCTTATTTACAGAAAGAACATCGCGCGTAAACTTTCCACGAGGTGGAAAGCACCTGGCGATCGGCGATCTTTTTCGCGGCGAGGTAATAGCGAAGTCGATTCACGGAATAAGAAGGGTCAGGCGAAGCCTACTTTCTTCCACTGAATTGTCGCGCTCACCTCAACGGGGGGGAGGACCACTCGCGAGTGGTTTTACGTGGTGGTAACACATCACGGGAGAAAGAGAGAGAGAGATAGAGAGAGAACTCGCTTAACAGACAGCCGGTCAGAGCCAGTATGTGCTGAGTCCGACTGAGTGGTAAACGCGAGAGAGGCGGTAAACGGCGGTCGCGATCCTCCTCTCGATAGCACGGAATCGGATCGCGCGCGATTCGCACTTTGATTCACGCGCGAGAAGCCGCAAGCGAGCGCACGCCCGTATCTCGTATATATCGATTGGCACTACACGCGTCTGGTTTAATTCATTCGATCTCTCGTGGTGATTTCCTGTGGATATTCGCTCGAAAGCGTATCCGTACCGGAGACTCGCATACAAGTGAGTACGCAATTAATACTCTAATAGTGTGTTTTTATGGTGTTGTCGCGCGCAAGGGAGACGCGTTATCATATTGCGCGCGTAATTATTACGGAGAGATGTACGTGCGAACGCGACATACTACTCGTGCCGATTAAAAATCGTCATTCGTGCAACTCTGTAAATTTTGTTTTTCAAGTGCAAATCGAAACGCATATTATACTTTGAGTGAGAATAATAAATAAATCATAATAACAATTTGACTTGTAAATTTTTGCGAGGATAACGAGCGACACGAGGAGAATCTCGACAAACTGCCCCCGACGAAAAGTGAACGAAATAATTTTCATTTTTTTTTTTTTTTTTTTTCTGATATTTTCGGATTATTCGACGCTCAAAGCGCGTCCGTTGTCGATTATCCTTGGATGTTAACGTAATTAAACTCGAGTTTATTGAAATTCGGATTAGCTCGTGCATTAACACATCATCATAATAGGAACGTTAGGTCAGACCGTATACTGGAATATTCGCGTTAAACCTCTGACAAGCGTTTTGACAATATGCATTATCGGTAATTAATATATCTCCACGGTCTGCAATAATGGTTCGTTTTCGACAGGATTTCGAGGATCGTTTCCGAAAGTTGCCGATCGATTTCGAACATTGAATCGTCGAAATTGCGACGCCGCACACACACACACACACATACACACACAAATTTACGTAATATCGCGAATCGTATCACACTCGCGGATATTTAGTCGATCATCGCGTGTGTCAATGTTCACACACAATCGCGCGTAACCCGTTACATAATTTTGCTTTCGAATCTTTGTTTGCTCGCTGTCCGATTTGTTGTCACGGGCGTGTGTGACGTACATGTTTTTGTCTCGTATATTATTGTAAAAAAAAAAAAACAAAAACAAATCCGCCGCACGGAGAGAGATTTCGAAGATAGAAACGGGAAGTTTCGTTGCGAAGTGAGGTGTGTGTGCGAAGGAAAAAGACACGCTTTCGTAATTTTCTCCGACGAGGAGAAGCAGCGGTCTGAATTTAATATCTATGCCGCATCCTGCATCTGATATCATTCGTCTTGCGGACAGTGACGGTGGCGGCGGCGGCGGCGGCGGCGGGAAGAAAACTTGACATGAAAAAAAATAAACGCGAGTCTTAGAACTCGCGTCTCTTTACTCTGTACAAAGTTGTCATTCGTGCGTTGAATCGCGCCGGGACACGGGAATCAGGAGAGAGAACCGAGACGCGGAAACTCTTATCAAAAATTTATAGCTGAGAATAAATGATGCTGCATAAACCTCTCCATAGCGCAAAGTCGAGACCCGAAAGCGCACGGAGAGAGAGAAAACTGTCTCTTAAAAATTTTAACTATCTACCGCGTCCGCAAAAGTTTCCAAGGAAAAATATCATGTCGTTAAACGTGTGTGCGTGTGTGCGCGCGCGTGGTGTGTTAATAGTCAATACAAATTTTGTCCCGACGAAATATCGACACTTTGGAATTACGCCGAAATTGTGTCGATCGTGAAATCGGGTTGTCTCGTGCGCGATCCGTCAGAATCTCCATCTCTATTTTTTTTTTTTTTCCTATATTGCCGTTTACGACTTCCAGCGATGTTGACGCGTCAACGCGCCTCGCTTTATGTGCACACAAGAATCGCAGTTTTTTTTCTCTCTTTACGATCGCGCGTAAAACATTTATGATCAAGATGTATCGGTCGTAATTCAGGATGCAGAAGCGCATCCCCGGGAAAGCACTCGGTTCGCTTCTATTTACAGAAGCCGTTTACATCGTGACCATTTATTCGGCGGTCGGGACGAAAGAGGAGCAGAGGACTCGGCCGAGGCGGAAGAAAAATACATTGAAATATACGGGAAGCTACCGGCGAATGAATTCATAGTCTCTACTGCAGAACGTTCGATAATGTTGCACTTTATATCGCAAATAACAGACGACGACGTGCCCCGCGCGTGTAAGCCGCGTGTGTATGCCGGAAGTCATGTTCTCCGCCTCCCACGTATGGTCATCTAGGTTACGTTCGACTGTTACACATTTCGCGCTGTATTGTCACCGCTAAAAGCAAAAAGAGAGAGAGAGAGAGAAGAGCGAACACGCATCTGTTCAACGTCTCGTGCAAATATTGAGCGAGGACGAGGCGAGATTAGGCAGGAACGTCCGCTCGCAAAAATATGCTAAACTCTCGCGAGATGCATCTGATTCAAATTTGCACCGGAGTTTCGCCGAGGGTTTTTTTCCCCTTATAGAGCAACACTGCGCGTAATTTGATTTGACGCAAGAGAGTAACGAAAATCACGACGTCACGCAAAGGTGGTCTTTCATCTGATGGTACAAAGGAATATATACTCTATGTGCATATATATATAAATCGAAAAAGTCTAGAATAAAAGTCTATTGGCGCGCCAGACTTTGTTTCCGGAAGAAAATTAAAAAATTGTCTGGTGTAAATACTTTTTCAGTTTTTTTTTTTAATTCTAGATTTTCATCTCATATTTGTATGCAGAATTCAATATCCTTTAGGTTGTAAATCCGCCAGGTCGCGGAGACACGTATATCGGTCTGACATACAAATCTCTTTCCGCTCGGATCGCGATCGAAAAGCAAAAAACGCACAAGCATTTTAAAATGAGATCGATTGATGCTCCACTAGCTAAACTGAAGCATTGATGCGTATAGGATTGTAATTCCATAAATCTTTTCGAGTGTTGTGGGCGCGCGTTGTGTTACACGGTCGTCGTATTTTATCCCGGCGTCGTTGTTTGGGATTTAATGCGCATCGACGTCGAGAACCTACCTACCGAAATGCGCGCGCGCGCGCGATCGTAGAATCGAATTTCATCGATCAGTGTGTACGACAAGTGGGTCAACAAAACGCGCGTTTGAATTTTCGTTCATCTTTTATTTTCGCGCGTATGCGAGAGTCGTCCACACATCGGCATCCCGAAACTCTCGAAATTCCCGCTCCGGAGGTTATCGGGTTCGCTAACGAATAATAAATTTTTTTGAACCCTCCGGTCTGATAAAAGAGCGCGCGCAAGCTTTTTCGCCGCGCTATCACAATTGCGCGCGCGTCCTCGCCCAACGACGACGAAACCGGACGATGTCACGTACAGCGTATGAACCGACCCGCGTAAAAAAATGCCGAAGGGAAGAGAAGAGAAAAGAAAAAGGGAACAGTTCGACGAGCGCCGGGAAAACAGATCGGCCCGAATGCGGTGCGCGCGCGCGCGCGCGCGATGTGAGTGAGTTCCCACGCAAAATACAGTCCAAAACTTTTGTTGGAAATACTACACGGTAAAACTCTCGTTTCTCGTAGAAATTTGTGAAATGAAAAAAAAAAAAAAAAAGAGAAATCAGTTTTATCCTCTTGAGAAATATGTGAATATACATTTTACTTTACAAATATCCGAGCATTGCGTTCAAACAGAGAGAAAAGATCCTTCTTATATAATTCTCCGCCCGCGCGCGAGAATAAATTAGTTTAATTATTTTAAGGAATCTCACGCGTACTTCGCAATTTGCACTCGTCATTCATTGTAAAATTTATTATCATATAAATTTGCTTTGCAGATTGCCCTTATTTATTGTTTTTTTTTTTTGCTCGCTAATCACCGAGCAAATACGTGTTTTTTTTCTTTTCTTCAAGAAACGCCAAATCAAATATTTACTTACCAGAGTGTGACATCACATGTCCGTAAGAAAAGATTTAATTACTACGCGTGATAATAAATTAAACAATGAGAGAATTCCCGTAAGGGGGATTTCAACTTGCTTCTCGCGACTCGTCGGAGAACGTATGTACGCGGGTTTCGCGAGAATTTTTAATTAAAATCTGTTTCAGCCCTCCGGGGAATCAATTCGTTGTGTGTTCCGCGCGCGTCTGATAGCGGTAATTGGCGGGTTTTGGCCTTGCGGGAGATTTCGCGTATATATCAGCAAACCATTCTTCCATTCGGGACGAATGAAAACGATCCGATTTGTTGCGAGAATGGATATTCGCAGGAGTCGAACCGAGAGCGAACGTTACATTATCCCGATAATATCGTCGGTATGGATAGATAATAACGCGAGATATTGCGCGCGCGCGCGCTGAATGGAACGGCAATTATAAAAACCGGTATGTCGCGTCGATCAATTCCTAACGCGAGGAATATGTGCCGTGTCGTTCATCCGGTTTCCCGTCACTTTCTTGCTCAATGACAAAATGAAGGAGAAGGGAGAGAAGGGGGAGGGGTCGTTAACCCTCTCCGTAACGTTCTTTCCGACCGGGAACGTTTTGAGAGTGCGTGACACTTTTACGGAACGATATGGTAAACGATGTCGTTAGAGCGCACATTGTAAAATGCGTTAGCAAATCGAGCGCGTTTATATCCGAACGATTTGTAGAACATTTCGAGGTACATAATGACGAGTCCCCGATTTCCTGAGCTCACGATGTGTGCGCGTGTGATACAGTTGGAGGAGATAAATCGTACAGCTGTCATGACGCGTCGCTATTTTCTCACAGCTAATGAGGGAAACTCTCGATGACAATTAATTCGATTGCATTATTGAATACAAGCACGTACATAAGTGAAGAATTTTTATTTCGATCGTTTGCTGTACCGCGATATTTTTACAAGATACGGGAGAGAAGAGATATACAAATGTACGCGCGCGCACTTACACACACACACACACACACAGTGTTTTTCAGTTTTTTTTCATCCGGCGAATAATTTGCGCGCGCGGCAGATAGAAGAAAAAAAAAACACACGTTTGATACACGATATCACCTTGTTTTATTGAACGTTGGCGGTTCGATTGCGGGCGCAATTTTTGCGATGTAAAATTGCGAACGCTCGCGCGAACGTATCGAACGTGTGACGTGGGAAAATAGGGCGTTGCGCGCGTATAGTCCAACTACCGGCTCGTTTCTATAAAGTTCCGAATCAACGGTCTCCGTCGGAGCGCTAATAACGACCGGACGGCCGCGGCGGAATCGATTTTC